ACTCACTCGAACAAATTTTCAGTTAATAACAAATATTTTTATTTTAACTTTAATTTTTTACATTCATCCATAAAAAAGTTCTCAAAGATAAAAATCAGTAACCAGTTTAAAAATAAAATAAAACTTTACAGCTGCCTACCTTTATCAGATAAAATTATATTTAATTTGTTACTGATTATATAAATAGATAAATAAAAACTCATGCCAAAATTGTATAGTCTCTTGATACCAAGGTATCAGACGACTATTGGGACTGATTGTAGTGAGAAATAAAATCATCTGTTAAATAAGAAATAAAAAGGGATCACAAAATCAAGAATGTTTAGATATTTCTATCACATTCCATCCAATTGTTTTTACATGGATATTTTTTTACACAATTTCTTGATTTATCTTAGTCTGGGAAAAAATTTGATTTTCTTTTTATGCAATTTGTTTTGAGCTAATACAGTTTGCCTTTTTTTTTCCTTCCTTAAATTTGCTTTTTTAAAAACTTCCGTTTGATTTCAATTTTAAGAAAAAATATTCATATTTCTTTTTTAGAAAATTGCTTTTTTAAAAAAACTTTTAGAATTTGCAGCTAGCTGTTCAAGAATTTAAAGCTGCTAGACATGCTCAAGGTAAAGTTTAAGATTTGTCAAGTTTGTGGGCTTTGGAGCCAGGGCTAGTCAGAGATTCCATTTTTTGTTGGAGCTGGAACCTAGAGCTATGTATTCTTTAAAAGTTTTTGGCACCAGCTCCAGATTTTATTTTTTTGTCAAGTGTTAATTTCTTCAGATATTTCCTAAAAAGTTTTAAGCTTTTCACTTGGTAGTTGTTTACAAAATTTTGTGAATCTAACTAAAAAATTCACTGCAATTACATTCCTGACATATCTGTTTTATATATATAAATATTTCAAAACCAGATGTTATTAATCAAAGCCAAACAATTACTGTAATGTATTGGGCTATTTACATCTACCTCTAATACCAAATCACTTAAACTAATTTTTAATAGTAGTGAAAAATAGCTCGATACATTATGGCAATTGTTTGGCTTTGACGTCTGTTTTATTTATCAGAATTAAACAAAATTAATTTATATCAACTATAATTAAAAGTAATAAATAGATTTCACTGCATTATTATTAACTCAAACTGGGATGACTCAAAGTTACATTTACTTTATTTTCTTTTCCTGATCATTAGCGTAGGGATTTACATGTTAAATGAAACTGATTAACTCAAATTCATTGAACTGTTCAACTTAAATGGGGTTTTTATAACAGTATTTTCATAAACTCTCTAGAATTTTAATTTAGATAAAATAATTAATGTTTATTTATTGAATGAACTAATCAGAAGCTTTCTATAAAGTGCTGGAACCACATATGACTAAAAATAAACATTGTCACATGATAGTGAAGGGAGGTGATGGATTCCAGACAGTGTGCATTCAAACATCATTCAACTATCATAAATGTCATTCAAATGTGCTTTTTTGTAATCTTTATGGCAGAAAAATTTTTTAAATTTTTTTGCCATAAAGGTTTTAAAAAATACAACAATTGTAAACAGTGGTATGATTATGATAAAAAATAAAAAAATTAAGTGTATGGGCAAAATATTACAATTTTTAAAAATCCTTTAGGTGTAAATTGATGAATCATTCAGGATAGCATTTCTCAGTAGCTTATTTAACCATTCAGTTAAGTTATTAAAACACTAAAAGGGATAATAAGCTTAAACTTAAAATATTTTTTTAAAAAGACCTTGCGTCTGCTTAATTATGTTCCACATTTCAGTAGGGATTTTTCCGAGCTCACCACAGAACTTAAGTTCACTCTTTGCTCACAATCAGCATCCATTGTGTCACTCTAACTATTGCTGTAACGATGTGAACAGTGTGTTGTTAAAAGCACAGCCCTGCCATCTACTGAATTTGTGCAAAAACATTTCCAAAAACACATTGAGTAAGAACACATACCAGGTGACATTAAAACAATAATTTACTATTTTTTTTTTATTGCATATACAGAAATAAAAAAATTGTCCTGGAACTTTACTGACAAAGAGTGTATAATAGACATCTCTGTTCCAAACATTCATAACATAAAAAGAAATGCTCACACTGAAAAAACAAGTCCATTTCACTTGCTCAAGAAATAAGACAGATATGGAGGATGGATAAGGTATTTATGGTACTTGTTGTCCTCTCTGCTACTGGTGTTAACCATATACACTACACAAAGTCTAGAAACATTAAACCTTAATAAAAACATACACAGCACTACAGAAAGCCACAATATTGAACACATTTCATATTGTTGAGAAGTTTCTAGATGTTGACACACATACCAATAACACAACTTAATGTTACACTTGTTTGGGTAGCTATGCTTTGACTTTAGTCTGACATAACACTTGGCACCAGTATCAGCTGAGCATGACAATACAGTAAAACCTGTCTATAACATAACCCCAAGGAACTCTTCTGTAATAGGCAGGTTTCTGCTATATACATGTTACCTACTATAGGTATCCCTTCATTAATGCGATTAATAAATTTCTCGATGGGTACCATATATATCAAAATTGCATTAATCAAATACAGTGAAACATTGGTACTCAATTGAGCAATCATCACTCACTCGAACAAATTTTCAGTTAATAACAAATATTTTTATTTTAACTTTAATTTTTTACATTCATCCATAAAAAAGTTCTCAAAGATAAAAATCAGTAACCAGTTTAAAAATAAAATAAAACTTTACAGCTGCCTACCTTTGTCAGAGAAAATTGTACTCAATTCAGTTCATATTATTCATAAGTGGAAAAAGAAACCCTGCTTGTAGAACACAATCATCAACATGTTTTACAATCATTTCAAGTGGATGAAGGGTTTCAATAATACATGTTTGTAACACACTAAGATTTGTTGCAAATTCACAAGTTGTTATTTGTCAATCTTTAACAATTTCTTCCCCAATTTCTCTTCAACAGCTTTTGGAGCACATACGTTTTGTATCCTTTAGTTCAAAATTTTCCAAATGAAACTTTTAAGACCACATTTGACACATTTGGAGTTTAGAAGCATCTTTCCCATACACAGTATGATTATTTTTTACTGTTTGTATAGCATGATATCTTTTACAAAACTTAAAAAGCATGCATAATATGCCCAATGTGCATTTTATTTGCAGACATTTCAACTTGATTTTATTCAAATAAAATGTGTTGTAAAAAAGTTTAATTAAAATAAGCTTCAAAACAAAGAATACAATTTCACATCAGAAATAATGTGTTAAACTTCACAACTTTAGTTACATCACATATTTATGCTAAGTAAAAACAGCTGTTAATAAAAACTTTCATTCAAATTCCAATAAAATTACTGTAATACAGTAGTTGTATTTTGCTATTCTGTATTGTGTATGTGTATTTTTTTACTTTTTTTATGATTTATACATGCTAGGCTCGTAAACTAGTTAAATTTGTGTTAAATCAATTTACCGATAAAGATACCAATTTTTCCATTGTACAGCCTGATTTTCCTTTCTGTTTCTGTGTTAGACAGATTCTGCTATATACAGGTTAATTTACATTAATTTTTGCAAAAATTTCAAGGGGCCAAAGAAATTTTCCATTAATGACAGGTTTTCACTATATACAGGTTCCGTTAGAGACAGGTTTGACTGTAATAATAATAATAACAAAATGCTTTTGATATTCATGTGATATTTTTTTATTGATAAGTGTTATTACTGTCTGTTTATTGTTGGTGGCATTTTTAAATTAATTTAAAGACTTATTTAAAAATAGAGCATGGTGAATGTCAAATAATTTTATGTGAGTAATGTGTCATGATGGGCCAAGATATTGCTGCCAATATTATTATGCACTATATTGTGGCCACAGCCAGAATGCTGCCTTAAGAAACGTAGAAGGCATATAATGCAGGATAGGCAACCACTGAGTGGGTTAGGGTAGTTTGATCTCAACATTTGAGGTGGTTTGGGCTGAGACATGGTCCTTCATCAATATACTAATTAATGTTTATATATAAGAGACAATATTTATTAACAGCAAGTATCCTTGCAATCATTCAACTTTGGATTTCCCTCTACAGGTTAATTAGTTGATACTTATTATATTGTGGTATGGTTTACAGCATTTTAGTATGGAAGTAATGCATGGCAGGTAGTGGCTAAACTACTACATGTATAAATGCTTACTTAATTTAAATTTTGTTGGTATTTTATTAACTTACAGTCTACAGCAAGTTTTCATTTACATCATTGATAGGTTCATGGAAATTGCAATATTAAGTGAAACAATTTTACCATAGGCTAATTGATATAAATCAGATATAATTCAATTAGTGTTATTCTAATTGGATCATGTTTAATCAACATTTATTTCCCACCTCATAGAATCAACTTTACTGTTTATAAAAGAAAATTCAACAACAATAATTATAAATGATTATGAATATATTTTTTCTCAGCAATGTTATAATGAAACAATGTTAAGTGAGGACTTGCTGTATTTCTGTTTAAGTGTTCTACTTTGATGCTACTTTATTTATAACTTATTTAAATCTAAAAATTCAATTTGTGTTCAATCTCAGCTATTTGAATTTTATAAAGTACTGTTTAATGTTCAAACATTTTTATTTGAAGTTGACAGAAATAAAAGCTGTCAAAAGTTCTTGTGTAGTTTTAAATGTTTTTGTTTCAATATAAATTTGTTCAACATTGAAAGCCAGAGTTTTTCTTTCAGTTATATTTAATTAAATATGATGTAGAAATTTTTACAGCATTTTAGTGTTGTATCTCAAAATGTTACACTAACCATACTTTTACAATACAATAGTAAAACTTAAAAGAATAAGTAAAAATTATTTAATATTGATTAATAATCAAAAATTTTGAAAGTTATTTTTCTCTTTCAATATATGAATAATTTAGAAATAAATATAATGTTCAAAACATTCATTGAAACTTTTGACTGTTCTAGTTTCAAGGATCTCCTGTAGGTTTTGTGCAGCAAATTGTTATAAAAAGTATTGTGACACCTTGGAAACCAGGGCTTATATTAACTGATGCATTCAGAGGACCATTAGCGGAAGGTTTTCATGTTCTAGAGATGATTAGAAATCATCAAACTGATAATGGGTAATTGACTTATGTTAAACAATTTATCATATTCATAAGTCATCAATGTAATATTTTTAACCTAATTCATTAAATTGGAAATAATTGTTTTAGAATATTATATTTTTTGTATTATTATATGATGCATGTTGATTAATAGATGTATTCACTTAAAATAATTCAATATTTTTATATTAGAAAGCAAACATCACTTTCTGATATTTGTTTACAAGTGTCAGAACCAGTTGACAAGAGTTTCCAAGGACTACCACAGTATAGTTGTCTAATTGTTTCTCCTGCACATATATGGATGCAAGATATCAATAGGTAAATGTTAAAATAGATTTATTATTAATTTACTAAGATATCAAGATATAAAATTTTAGGAGAAACCAATTTAATTAGATTTAGTATTTTGTGCTTATATTATATAAAATTTAGAATTTTTAAATAATGTTTGACATGATATGAAATATTTCATTTATGTTGTAGTTAAAGCAATTTTGAATGGCTTATCATAACTTCAATCAATTAAAACAAATGAAATTACTATTTGAATGGACTTCTACTCAATACTAGTTAAATTCAGAAGACAAGTAACTAAATAACCTAAAACTAGCAATAAGAACACTCACTTTGGAACAGCAAATATTTTCTTGTCTTGAATGAATATTGTCAGGCTAATGTTTGAAAATAGAACTGTACATTTTGAAATCACCAGATTTGAATATGTAGCTGCTTGCTGATTGGTGGAGATAGTTCTAGTATAAAAGTAATGGAAATATCAAGGTTTAAGTGGGTGGAGGCATATCAAAAAATACTACTTTTCAATGATTATGCCCAGTATTTAATTCCAATCAACCTAAACCTTTAAATTCCAGCGATGAAAATTTTAATGTTAAATTGAGAACTGTTTTCCATCTTAACCAAGAGCTGCATCGGGTTACCAACAATATTTGAAATTGGAATGCAGAGAACACAACTTTTCAAAAATAGTTTTTTAAATAATTGGAACAAAAATATAATGTAAAACAACCAAAAAAATTATAAATGTAAATAATCAGTGGTAATTTTAAAAAGTGTAAAATTATAACAGATAAAAATAAAACATAAGATACAGTTGAGCATTGATTATCCAACTCAATTGGGGACTCAGGTTGGTCGGATAACTGAAAAATCAGATAACCGAAAATAATGAAAAAAATACATTATTAGTATAGTATATTAGTATATCATTAACCTACTTCGCGTTGAATTTTCATCGATGTTAAGCCTAACAATTTTTTTTTTAAAATAATAATCATCGCTATTGTATCATTAAAAATTTTTTTTTAAATTATTTTATTGCTCACAAAACAAACAACCACTCATAATTAGAAAATTAAGTCTCGTTTAAATACTGGCCTCCCTTTCATGGTCGAGCCAGTGTTGCCAGCTAAAACATGCAAAAATTTAACAAAAATTATATTAAAGTAGCCAAGACATAGCCAAATATTGTAGCGCCACATCACTAGCAGACATTTGAAATTTGCCGACTAGAACGGTCGGTTAACCGATGTGACTGTTAAACGGGGGTCGCATAATCGATACTCTACTGCAGTGATTCCCAACCTGTGGTATGCGTACCCTTAGGGGTATGCGATAGGTTGTTTAGGGGTACAGAAAAAAGTTAGTTATTATGGCAGAAAAAATAATATATCATATATCACAAACTAATAGTATTAAAAAATTATTAGATAAAAAATGTTCCTTGCAACAATCACAACTTTATTATACAATTTTTTCTTTTAGGTTTTTTTTCTTTAATTTAAAGTTACAATATGTAAAATTAACAATACGGTTACTCACTAAATTTCTTAAATGAGGGGTACAATCTAGAGATATGACATGTCACGGGGTACGCTAATGAAAAAAGGTTGGAAACCACTGCTCTACTGTATTACAAAATAATAATAATTGGTTTGTCTGTAATTCCTAGTTTTTCATAAAAGCATTGCCATGCATATGAGATGCTTTTTCCATCTTTAAAGTTAATACAATTGCCAGTCAGGTCACCCTTGTATATTTCCAAGGCTTCTAGAATCCTAATGTGGTCAGTTTGAAATGATTGCTTAATTAATGTGGCCTTCTGGAGATTGGCCTGCACATTTGTCTCGGTGTAAATGCAGTGGTGTAAGGGCAGTGGTATGTCTTTTATTCAAAGTTTCATAATGATGTTCTTGCAATCTTTTGTGTATGGAGCGCTTAGTGGACCCAATGTATACCATATCTCTTTGGACTCTTGTCTCTGACAGGAACACTGTACATCCCTGGGACCCTATGTTTATTTGCCTTGTCCTTTCTGTTGTGTACTCATGGGAACTCTCTTGTATGCCAACTTGGTACCTGTATTGTCAGCAATTTCTTTGTATAAGGTATGTAAATGTTGGTCATACTCTATCACTCTGCACCTCCCAAACCCCTCAAAAAAAAGTCAATAAAAGGGGAAAAATTTGCACGTGTGTGTTGGCATGTAATTTGTTTAATTTCTTTATTTTCTGTTCTGAGATATTAAACAATATCTGAGAATGGGTAAAGTTTAAGAAATGAAATATGGCACTGTAGCTTGAGTATAAAGGGGCAGTAATACTGTTAAATTCTGGTTCTGAATTAAAGATCAAAAGGGTGAAGACATAAAAGTGGTCATTTGTCATATCTCTTAATGAATATTTTACTCATTATTAGCATTCAAAATTTATAAAAAAAAATAAAATTTGTCTCTACCCTCAAAGTAAGCTTTTTTGGCATTTTATAATAGTGCAGTAATACCCTGAACTTATGCGATAGGTGGGACCGAGCAATAACCGCATAAGTCGGGGTATAATTTCGCAATTTGTGTAAAATCCAAGTCGGATGTATGTAAGCTAATAAATGTTCTCGTTAATCTTATCTCGTCATTTGATTCGTTCATGGTTACAAGAAATCACCATATAGAGTCTCTCAAGTCTCCGTAGATATAACAAACACAGAAATAAATAACACAAAATAAATTGTAGTTATGTGTCGATTCCGTGTGACACGTTTGAACATGTAAGCCGAACAATAGTGTGGGGGGAGTGAGTAATCAAGAGTGCATGGCGCTCAAACAAAAGACGAATCGACAAGATTTGAAAATCGCGTAAGTCAGGGTAGTGTAAGTCGAGGTATCACTGTACAGTAAAACACGTTAAGATGTTCTCACCTAAGATGTTAGAATGTGCATGGGGACATGATTTAGTTCAACCACTTTGACGCTTAATAACTAACTCCTGTGTTAAACCATCTGACTCCGATTTTAACCACTCAGACCACAGAAATTATTAGGCTTCAAACGGGGTGAACAAATCATGCCCCACATACACAGTATAACATCCACACATATAGAAAAAACCTCGAATCTTTTGCATATCACGAAATTTTAAGGTGTCCTGAGTCCAAAAATGTAAAAATTTGGGAGGGGTCATTTTTTCTACACTTTTCCTCTGTTATATATAACAGCCGGAAAAGTAAAAATTATCGAATACATATTTATATATTACTTAGAGAAGTCTTTTAGCTTTGGAATAGAAAGTTTCTATGTTCTGTCTTTATTAGAACGCTATTTATTGAATATTTTATTTTGAGGTCACGTGATGACATCAGAATTTCCGGGTCTCTTTCAGTAACAAGTCCGCCCCTCGTCAGAGTCGGAGTCAGATGGTAAGGAAAAGTCAGAGATTTTTACGCGACTCCACAGCCCTGGTAAGAAGTGTTGGTTGGAGTTGGCACAAGCTAAATTATGTATCATGTCCCATCTATACCCATGCCGTAAACTATGTCATTTACGCCACTGAGATCGACAAGCAAGCCAATCTCCAGAAGGCCACATTAATTAATTAAACAATCATTTCAAACCGACCTCATCAGAGCTCTAGAAGTCTCAGAAATATACAAGGACAACCTGACTAATAATTGTATTAACTTTACAGATAGAAAAAGTGTCTCATATGCATGGTAATGCTTTTATGAAAAACTAGGAATTACCAACATTAAGTAATTATTATTATTTTGTAATATTTTATGTCTTATATTTGTTATAATTTTATACTTTTTAAAATTACCACCAATTATTTACATTTGTAATCTTATTTGTTGCTTTACGTAGTTATGTTTTTGTTCCAATTATTTAAAAAATATTTTTGAAAAGTTGTGTTCTGTGCATTCCAATTTGGAGTATCATTGGTGACCTGATGCAGATCTTGGTTAAGGTGAAAAATATTCGTCAATTTGACATTAAAATTTTTGTTACTGGAAGTTAAAGGTTTAGTTGATTGTACTCAGTATTTAATTCCAGTCATTGAGAAGTATTTTTGTTAAGTAGTTTCTACAAAATTAATTANTTTTTGAAAAGTTGTGTTCTGTGCATTCCAATTTGGAGTATCATTGGTGACCTGATGCAGATCTTGGTTAAGATCGAAAATGTTCATAAATTTGACATTAATTTCTGGTGACGAAAATTTTAAAGGTTTAGTTGATTGTGCTTATTGTGGAAGCACATTTTCCACTATGTTGGGGAAGTATTATCATCATTGTAATTGATGGCCACTTCTCTCAAAGCTGCTTTGTATATCTCCAAGGATAGAGATCTCCTCTCACTTAACCTTGATACTTCCATGACTGTTATGGTAGAACCATCTCCATCAATCAGCTAGTAATTAAGTTACATATTCAAACCTATTGTTTCCAAAATATGATGTTATATTTTTGAACATTAGCTTGGTAATGTCCATTCAAGATGAAAGAAAACATTTGATGTTTTAAAATGAGTGTTCTTATTGCTGGTTTTAGGTCACTGAGTTAGTTGTTTTGTAAATTAATATATACATTTTTTTATCAATTAAAATGAGAAACATTCAGGATAGGCAATTTACAGTTGTATGAAGAGTTAACAGCTAATGAAACCTTATTTTCTTTTCTCACCACTACGTGAACAATAATTCTTACAATAGAAGCATCATCATTCACAGATAACAAATATAGTTTAAAATGACTAAGACAAAACCTTTCTCACTTCATTTGTAGCCATTTAAACACTGAGTACAAATGTTTTTGGCCTTCTTAAAAGGCTTTTCTCAGGTACACTGTGGTCTGTTGGAACGTTGGTTGGTAGATATTCAAATGGTGTCACTGTTTACATAGGTTTTGTCTTACCAGTGACATCATTGTTGTTGATAAGGTTTAGATTATTCTGAGGGTGTTAAATTTTCTTTTGATATAAAATTTAAGGTGTGCGGACGACTATTGATGGGATAATTGCTAAAGTTAAATAAAATTGGAAAATACACATGCTAAGTAAAGAAGATGCACTAGAGTTGATGTCATAGTTGATACTGAAGTATAGATGACGTCGACATTGTGTATACTTTGGTATCAACTATGATGTCACTCCCCGGTAACCCCCTATCTAAGTAGGCCAATCCACACTCAGCAAGCCTGTCACAGTCTCTAGTGCAACTTCTTTACTTTTAATTGTATTTTCCAATTTTATTTTCTTCAACTTTAGCAATTATCCCAACAATAGTCGTCCGCACACCTTAAATTTTATATCAAAAGAAAATTTAATGCCCTCAGTATCGTCTAAACTTATCAACAACAATGACGTCACTGGTAAGACAAAACCTATGTAAACAGTGACACTGTTTGAATATCTACCAACCGACATTCCAACAGACCACGGTGTACCCGAGGAAGGCCTTTTAAGAAGGCCGAAAACATTTGTACTCAGTGTTTAAATGGCTAGAAACAAAGTGAGAAAGGTTTTGTCTTAGTCATTATAAATAGTTCTAGCTTCAAATGCATAGAAAAATATAGTTTATTTTAGCAAAGAAAATCAGAACACTCTTAAGACTAACAAGTTTTGTTTGTTTATAAAATTCCAAGATAAAATATTAACTATAACTATATGCTATTAAGTAGAACTGTGCATTGTTTAAAATTACTGTTTTATCTTGCAATATATCAATGAATAAAACAACTTGTTAGATTTAGAAAGTGTTTTGTTGTAATTTTTTTCAAGTTTTATAAATTTGAAGAGATTGAAAATACTTGTATGTGTCTGCTGTAAGAATTATGGGTAACTCTTGTATAATATAGTAGTTCCAAAAGAGTGCCATGTTATGCAAATCTGTGCTATATGAAACAAAGAAGTAGCACAAAACATAGGATTGGATTCCAAAAGTTAACAAAAGTATATCATTGTTAGTTACTAAGAGAAATATGTTTATTAAAGCAATCAATAATTAAGTAACAATTACAAAAAGTACTGTATTACTCATTAATATTAATTTTAGTTAAATGAGGGTTTTTCTTTTTACAAATATTGTCATCTGAGCTTTTTTGTTGATCTTGATCAGAAATACAGTGGAACCTCGGTATACGACCTTAATCCGTTCCCGATGTTCGGACTTATACCGAATAGGACGTATACCGAACCAAGCTTTTCCATAAGAAGTAATGTAAAAATGATTAATCCGTTCTCATGTAAAAAAAATGGCTGGCTTTAAACACCTCGCTTTCCTGGCTAGTTCCTGCTTGATTTTTCATGAGATCAGCATGTATCTTTTTAGCTTTCTCGCAAATAATTGCTTCTGATACGCTGTCTCCAGCACACTGTTTTTCAGTTATCCAAAGCAAAAGCAATTTCTCAACATGATCTAATGTCTTCGATCTCTGTTTAGAAATTGATTTAACCCCTTTGCAACGTTAGTAGATTTAATAATGTCTTTATTTTTCGCGATTGTCGATATCGTCGTTCTCGGAATATGGTAGGCAACAGTTAACTCTCGAAAACGCGTGCCACCTTCATATTTCTCAACAATCTGTTTTTTCAGTTCCATTGTGATTCTAGTCATTTTTTTATTTTTCTGTTGCCTTTTTGCAATTCTTGGTTAATAAAAATAATAAAATTTTACTTACAAATTAAAATCAGAAGAAATTTAACAAAGTTATAAACTGTGGCACCGCGAACGTCTAGTCTGGTGTAGTATACCGATAGTGCAACTTGTTCATAGATGGGAGCGTATACAGTAATTGAATTAAGTCGTATACCGAGCAAAATTTATTTAGTCTAAACAGGACGTATTCCGAATTTGACGTATTCTAAAGCAGACGTATACCGAGGTTCCACTGTACCAGCATCATTTTTATCATAAAAAACTTTTATGAATGACAAACTAAAGATGTTATTAATCAAAAATTTGTTTTAGCAGGTTGCATTTGTTTAGTTGAACACCAAGCAATTTTTTTTTTCTTCCAGAATTTGTTTGAAAATTGAATTGTTAGAGTTGGAAACAGTTAGAATATTGAGATACTGCTATATTTAGTTTGTCATTTTTATGAATGATTACTTACCTATGGTTAAAAAAAAGTTTAATAACACCTATCTAAAAATGTTTAAATGAACTTTACTGAATACAAAGATTAATATATAAAAACAAAACACACTGACTGTCTTAAAGGGATAAAATCTGAAAGCAACAACAATGACAACTGGTTGATACGAAAGCTAGGACAAGGAAGAAAAAACAATGTATTATCAATTCAGTAAAATAAATGACAAAAGGCACAAAATAAATCGAAAATTTCAATATTCTAAAATCCATGAGCAAATTTGAGACAACACACATGCTTACTTGAATAAAAAAAAATACTGAATAACAGAGTTTGCACTTAGCAGTACAATTTCTTAAATTTTTGAACTGCTTTAGAGCAATGCCATGTTGAAATGCTGTCTTGTACAAGAAATACTTGTACTTCCTATATTAAATTTTTGAGATAATGGAACACATTAAAGTTTCATTATTTATTATTATTTATACTAATTGTAAATCATCTGAATAACTGCTTTGTTTTAATTGATCATAACCACAAAATAAATCAAATCAATAGTTATTTCATTTGCTTTAGTGACTTTGGTCAGTTTTTAAAATTTCTCTTGTACACAGTTTGTCAAAATTTTAATATTTTCTAGTTATTTCAATCGATATTCATATAACCAATAAATTGTTAACAGACATGAAAGATTTGTCTTATGATTAATAACAATTATCAAGAATTCAGGTGTATAAGGAATACCATTTCAAGACTGTTCTAATAGCCCAAAGACTAACTTAACAATATGTAGTCTAAAGGAGCTTAGAAGAGAGAATCAAAGAATGCAAGAATGTATTATTAGCATTAAAAAAAATTTTTTTTAAAGATTCCTTAGCTATACCTCAGATATACATGAGGTCTTAGAAAATCTTAGAAAACCTTTAAATATGCTGGAAAGATGTATCCATCTTTGAAGATTTCACTGTATCATTTATGAAATCATAATGAACAAATATTTTGAGTCATTTATCAACTTGTATTCAGAGTCAAATGCATTATGGAATAAACTACATTATTTATTTCATATTTCATAATGCATGTAAACCTGAATGTAAATTGTTAAATGACCAAAAAATGTTTATTATAAATTTTTATTGCTGGATAAAGTAAAGGTTGTTGATAATGATATATCATCTAAAGTAGTCCTGATAAGAATGAAGAAGAGTTATTGATTGCAATGTATTGTAATGTCAGAACTATTTATCCTCAGTAAGAGGTAGCACAATCAATCTATTCTTATATCCATGGGTGTCTAGACATACAAATAATCTCATTTCAATCGTAATGTTTTGTTTTCATTTGATCTTAATTATGTACAATAATTTTCTATTAATAAATTGTTACTTATTTATTTTTAAATTATTTTAGTTTACTTCTGTTCTACAAAAATTATATTTTTAATAAATAAAAGCTGTATATTTTAAAATCTGTTATCTTTGCAACAGATTTAAAAATATTCTCTGTAACTGGTTTATGGATTTCAGTTTAAAATGTTGAAGATATCTGAATATGAAAGTAATTTAAAGCTTTGTCCATAACAATTACACACTTGAAAAACCTAACTATATTTTGTCTAGATTTCCTTTTCTAACATCTTAATTTCTTACCTAAACTTATATATATTAAAAGATGACATTTTATTCTACAATTCACATTTATTCATAGATTTATGAAGAAATTGTCAAAAGCTATGGTCTTAATTTTATTAATGAAACTGTCTTGTTTTAATATTTAAAATTTTATATTACAGATTTCAACAGGATTCTGACATTATCAAAACAATATTCAAATCAAGTGGTGATATTTCTGATTCTTCTAATTTAAGAGGTAATTTTTTGGCAATCATAAAAAATAAAGTAACAAAATTTTTGTGTTTTAGTGAAAAATTTCTGTTCTGAATAATGTCTTATCTTTTTTCTTAGAGTATTATATGTATATTTTTCTAACATTAAAAAATTTTTTAATAAACTTAATATGGGCTTGGTTTGCTAAATAATTATCTATTAATAATCAAATTTCAAATACATTATGAGACCTGGTTATAATGTCGTTAATAAATATATAACTTGTCACCACTGAATAAATCAACATACTTTTGCTGTCCCATACTTGTTTAGACGTCTGATAAGTCGACTCTCCTCCTGAAAAAAAACAGTTCACACTGCACAGTAAGCTGTGTGGTGTGAACTCATTTATATTTCATTATTTCAGAATAAGCATTAAAGATATATTGTATTATTAAATTTGAAAGATTGTCAAGTATGACATTATACAGAGAGAAATAAGCAAAATTATAATGCTATTATTATTAAATACTAGATATTGTGAAAAAGTTTCAAACTAGACTTGGATTAAAGTAGATGTATTATTTATTGTGTGATGATGATGATGATGATGATGATGATAATTTAATCAAATTTAGTAATTGCTAATATTACCAGCAGACAGCAACTTGCTTATTGGGCTGCAATTTGAAAAAATTTAGACCTATAAATTCCCACTGTGATCCATCTGTCTGTTTTCTGTCTGTCTTTCCTTAGAGTTAGATAGATGAAAGACAAGAACCATGTATGGAAACTTTAGGGCCAGGCAGCCCCAATTATCTATATACAAACTTCTGATGCAAACCAGAAGTCATGTTATTTCAATTCAAAAATTTTCTCTGAAAGGAGTTACATATATGACAGGCGTGACTCTTTTGTTAAAGGAAAAGTATGATGTACAGGGACAAGCCACTACTAATTTGAGGTGGAGAGTATATATTTTAAATTAAATAAATTAAAAATATGATTAAAAATTGCATTGTGATGATGTTACAATAAATAATTGCTCATCTATAGTTTAAATACTTTGGTAACTTAATTCAAATTATTTTACATGGAAAATTTGTGCAAAATATTTGTGAGGTTACGAAGGCACAGGGTCAATTCCCTAATTGCCACTTACACGTCAAGTTGTTAAAACTTTCCCAGGTTGTCGTTCGGATGGCTTTTATCGAGTGGTGGGAGAGGTGAGCAAGTCAGCAGGCGTCCTTTCAGAGACAGGAGATAGGTTTAACAAAATAACAATTTAACAAAATAAACAATAAGCATTTATTATACAGCTAACACAAAAGTACAGGAGGCTACATAGAGTTAAATGCATATATATCTAGGTGATATAGGCTAAATGCGATTAACAAGATTACAAAGTCTATGATTGACAACTTCTTAATCTATTCTATGACAGCTATGCCTACTTCCGTTACGAGAGAGAGTTCACAGTCTGCTGATAATTACCTCTAAAGTTGGAGGAGTCCTATATGCGGTGATGACGGTTCTTTATGGAAGCGTTGGGCATTGTCAATGTCTTCTACAGTTATCTTCTCCGGGGGGACTAGGTCAAGTCCTTTCTTGGAGGTGCTGGAGATGGGGAATCACTAAGACCAATTATAACTTCAGTGTGTGAACTCCTGAGCTTCTGGTGGCTCGCTCCTTTTATATCATTGTCATTGGAAATCTAGCACGTAATTGACTTTTGTTGATGATGACGGTGCATTCTTGACAGCTATGTGTCAATTTTTCCACTGACTTGTTACTACAACGGGTGATCTCTGATCTAATTTCTACTTCTCCGTTTTTTCTAACGAAGATGTTTACAATTTGGAAACAATTGACATTAATTTTTGATTTTAAGAGCCCCATAAAAATCCACGGGCTCACATCGAGCAATGCTTTGATATTCATTACAACTGTAGGAAATTCTATTTATTTATAATAATTATAATCAAATTTATTTAAATACCATAGAATAATTCTGATGTCCCTGAGAAACAATTCAAATACTGTGGTATCTTATCTTGTACTTCGGAGTTTGAATGCTAAATTTGACAAAAATTTACTTTGGAGTTTTAATGATGCATCAAAGTTTGAACATGCACATTGTGAAAAAATGTGCTTGAAGCCTAAATGCAATCTGTTGTGTGCCCAAGTCATTTCTTGTTATCACTCTTGTGTTACACACGTTTTCAGTGTTTTTTTTTTTTTTTTTGTTGTGTTTGGATATATATGTATTATTTGTTGTTTTTCAACAACTTTTGGGCACTGTACATTTTCAATCCTTTATTTAAACCACATCTGACATGTTCAAAGTTTAGGAGCATCTTCATCATACACATTATGAATTTTTTTACTATTTGTACAGTGTTATAACTATCCTGAAACTCAAAGCATAATATACCTGATATGCTTTTTATCCAAAGACATTTTGACTTGATTTTATTCAAACAAAATACAAAGTAAAAATTTTTAAATAATGGCTTATAAACAATCTCACATTGGGAATAATGTTAGATTTCACAACTGTTTATAATTAAATCATACATCTATGTTAAGTAATAACAGCTATTAAAAATACACAAAAACTTTCTGTTCTGCCCAATATAACCTTTACTTTTTAACCATGGCATCTGAGAAATGTGTGAAAGCAACAAAGTCTAAGAGGAAGATTGTAGTATCAACAATTGAGATGAAAAGGGAACTTTTTGTGAAGCTTGAAAGTGGTACATGTGTGACAGATCTGGTGGCCATGTTTAAGATGCCAAAGTCAACAGTGTGCAACCAGTAAATGCAATTTTCTTTTTATTGTACACCATTTACATATTTTATTTATCATTTTCATGTTTCATTATTAGGGCATTTAATTGTAATATTTTTATTTTAAATTACGTGTCTTTGCTGTTTATAAAAATTTGGAAAAATTGATTTGGACTTTGAGCAATTTGGAATTTGATAGTCTTCTAGAACAAGTTAAATTTGAAATATGAGACACCACTGTAATAGTGAAAATATTGTTATTGTCTGTCTTCAGTTTGATAAATAAGATGATATAATAATATCGGTATTATATGAACTTAGATTTTTTAACATCAATTATTATAGTATAATTTATATAAATTTAGCATTCCAAAGTCAGAGTATGTTTAAGAAATGCAATATTGTGGCTTAACCAAATAAATAAAAATTAGTTTATTTTTTTGTTTTAGACATATTGTTTGGTGTTCCTTGGAAAGAGACTGGAATAAAGAAGCTAAATATGAGGACAAGACCTAGGATTATTACTTATGCCATTACTGTAATACTGAAAAAATTTAATATTGAGTGAGTGAGAGACAAAATGTGTCTTAAAGTTTTTTACTTATATAAAATATTAATTAGAACCTAACAACACCATACGATTAACTAAAGATATTCAAGTATAATGAGGTATGCTAGAATGAATGTAGTTGGTTCTATAACCTCTTTTGTTAACACACTGTTCATTGTAGCATACATTGAAATATATGTATTTAGGTTCCAAATCCACAGCCTAGAGCAAAGTTACCATCTAACGTAACAATTTAAACAGGAAAAATAAAAAATATAAGTGTAAAAATAATATAAAATTAATTTATTTAACTTTATTACAATATACATGTAAGTTTTCATCTGTTCCATAATATTAAAATTTAAACTGCTTAATATAGTTTCCTTTTGTAACCTGTGCACTTTTTTTTTTCTTCCTTGTGTTTTAAAATTGTACTGATCATTGATTTATCCATATTGTATTCATTATTCAGATTTCCCAAACTTTTTCCACTGTTTTGTTTGGAAATTTTCTTGTTACTATGAGATCTAGCCGGGGGTACAGAGTAGTTTATTATTCTTGTATCACTTAATTGGCTTCTAGTTGGTGAAACTAGTTCCCGGTCGTCGAAAAGAATGGCTTTTCCTAAGTTGAGGAAAATCGAGTGCGGAGGGACTTACGGTTGAATATTTAAAGCGGAACAAAGAATTGAGAGATCCTTCCATTCCTACATCAAGGACTCCTATGACATCAGTTAATCAAATTTATAGCACGCGGATTAACACGTGTGTGGATATGATCTGGATTTGATTCAGAGAATTATCAAGAGACATTACTTTAACAATAATAATAAAGAAAAATTTAATAAACGAAAATAAACAAAATCATACAAAAATGGATATAGTTAAAGACAATCGATTTAGAAAATGAATAAATCGAAATATACGCGCCGAGAGAGAGAGCTCACAAATTCATGAAACATACAACCTCTTTAGTTAACTTTATCTTCTTCTTGAGTTGCCGCTTTTACTTCATTTCTCTAGTTCTCAAAGTTCTGTTCATGGAGAGGTCTTGATAGGCACAATATAAAACAAAGATATGTTTTATATTGTGCCTATCAAGACCTCTTTAGTTAACTTTATCTTTAAACTTATTTTCCTAACTAACTTAATTTATCATGGAGTAATTATGTCTATGGACATTGGCCTTCTGGATACTATACGGCTCAGGACTAAGGACGTTGGCCTTAGGAGCTTGAATGGACTACGTCTTCCCTTCTTGGGATCTTCTGGCGTACTCCCGAACTAAGAACGTTGGCCTTAGAGAGACAATATGGGAACTTCTTTCCACTTCCAGATCTGCGGACATACTCCCCGAATTATGCCAAACTTTGACTATATTTCTTGATTTACGACCAATCATCATACTTGGATTCTTTCACGTGAACGGATGAAAAGGGGGAATAAATGAAGGGTCGGCAATTCCCAGGGTGGTGAGATTTGTAACAGATAAGGGAAAAACAAAGGATGCTTCAGTTTCCGTTAAAGGAAGTGACTGTTTTATCAGTTTTCCCACGTTAGAAAACCGTTAATTTCTCACCAAAACGAAAGAATATTTTTCTACAAAATTTAACTTTATTTTTAAATTGTTATTTAGACCCAGGGGCTATTCGGATCTCACATAAGTGAACAAAACCTTATTGAGTGTGTTTCTGTATGTGATTCACTTTTAAAACGCAATGAAGATGATCCCTTTTTAAAGCGATTACTAGCAGGTGATGAAAAATGGATAGTTTACAACAATATTCAACATAAGAGATCTTGGAGTAAACCAGGTGATCCTCCAGTGCCACAACCTAAAGCTGGTTTGCATCCCAGAAAAGTAATGATTTCAGTTTGGNTTAATTAGCTTTATCACTCTTTTTTGCCAGCTCATGGATAAAATTATATAGCAAAATAATTTTAAAAATATATTTTTATTTGCTAAAGATGCAAATAATCAGATATTTGAACTTTACAAACTATAATAAAGGCAATGACTAACGTTCTCAATTAAAACAGGAAAGCCTTGACATGTCATGCATATGTGCATGCTATGTCAACTGCATTTGTTGCAGCTTCTATGTTTGTTATAACATTTTGATTTTATAGATAAAAACTGTTTGTTATAGATGCATTCATTCTTGCAAACCCTACTGTATTTAAATTTCTATGTAGTTTTTCTGGAGAATTACACTAATGATAGTAACTGTGTATTAAATAATTAAAGATTTATTTTTTTCAAGCAATTTTCATGCATGCATTCTTTACTCTAGTGAAAATGACAAACATAACTTACATTCAGGCATTATATTCCTGCTTATCTTATTATTTACTTATATCTTTGATCTTTTTTAATATTTTACAAGGTCCAACAATTAAATAATGAGATAGATGTTATACTGATCAACACACAAATGCTATGTAAAAGAAATGTGTGCATTCTGTAGTGTGTTCTGTAGTCTACAGTCTGGCAACATTACAAGGTCCCACACTAAGCTTGGTAAGAAATCTGCTGGATAGTGTAAGAGCATTGTCATGAAAGCACCATGGAGCAGAGTTCAATGCAAATATCAAATTCTGTTAAAAATGTCACTTACAAAACCAAAAATATAGTTAATAAAACTAGACATTGAAGGAAAACAAATGTTTTCAATTGTCTTGAGCAACCATGTTTAGGTTAAAAGAACAGATTTGGAAATGGATTCATAACAGAACAAGAGATGGAATATTATAATTTAAAATATAAAAAGAATGACGTTTGCCAGCTGAAACAACGCAGCTATCAACTACAAGGACATGTTATCCTCAGCTTGGAGGACATTATTAGAAATTTAATAGTACTTTTTACATTCCAATGCAACCATGTGACTACCGACTTCCAATTAAATCTCATTCTTTTTATATTTTAAATTATAATATTCCATCTCTTGTTCTGTTCTGAATGGCAGTCATGTGGTTACATCAAGATTACCCTCATGACTGCAAATTACCAATCAGACATCATTCTTTTTAAATTATAATATTCCATCTCTTGTTCTGTTCTGAATCCATTTCCAAATCTGTTCTTTTAACTTAAAGATTGTTACTCAAGGCAATTGAAAACATTCATTTTCCTTCAACATTGTTTTTATGAGCTGGAGTTTTGGTTTTGTAAGTGATATTTATATTTTACTTTCAGCATACAGTGTGTTTATTACTTAAATTCTGCTTTAAATTTTGGGAAACTGCATCTAAAACAGGTACATTGTTACAGTCCTTCAATTAAATGTCAAACTGATGAAAGAAGTCACAACAATTACTAACAGCAAAGAAAGTTTAGCTTGGAAAGTCAAAGGTAAAGGGGTAATGGTAATGTGTTTTTATGAAAGGAAGGAATTATCATGAATTTGTTTCTGAGGGACAAACTGTCACTCAGTTACTTGAATATAGGTGTATTCCAGGTTACATACATATTGCATTTCATCACATAATAGTTGCATCACAAATGGTCATATTGTGAATTGCCATTTCCCATACATTTTTTCTATTTATTTAAAGAGAATTTTATCTCAAGGAAAGTTTTTGTGCAATGACCAATATGGTTTCATTCCTCAGTGTTCCACATAGGATTGTTAAATTGTGGACACAATTTAATAATCCCGTATGGAAAGAAAGCAAGGAAAGAAGAGATTGATCTCTCTGTTAATATTTCTAAACATCAAAGGTGCATTTGACAATGCATGGTGACCCTCAATTTTAAAACTTATTCAAGATACCAAAGTACCACAAAATATTTTCTTTTTGTTCAAGGATTTCTTAAAAGATAGAACAGCTAAGCTTAATTTGGGCTTTGTTAAAAAAAAATCTGCTCCCTAAATAAAATCCTGTATTCAAGACTTGGTATCTGGATCCCCTCCTCTGGAATGTTGTTAGAAATGACTTGCTAATTAAATTATTGGACTGTTTCTGTTCATTGGTTATAAAATCAGCTGTAGCATTCAAAAATAATTATTGACAATTTGCTGAATTTTCTTAAAACCCAGGCATTTTGGTCTTCACCCAGACACACAATGCAAAAACTGGACAGATGGAACACTTGGAATGGACAAAACATCATATCATTGGCGATAGCTAAGTCAGATCATGATGGGTAGAAATGCATGACTGTCATATTTGAAGTTTGTTTTATTGTGAGATGGTCATAACCTGGGATACTCCTGTATTCTGGAATGTTTCTAGAAGATTGTCAATATCTTTCAAAGTATTCATCACCAAGCAGTTGGTACCTTCTTTATTATTCTCTGGCTCACAGGGTAGTAGTTGTCCAGGAATTCCTGTTCAAAAACAAGTGCGTTTGCTTAATCATCCAGATTCCCAGATTTATCTTGCAAATATTTTCTGTTTCCTAAACTAAAGTTACCACTGGAAGGATGTCATTTTCAGGACATTAAAAGCATCCAACTGACTATGACATTGGATCTTCAAGCCATACCAAAAGAAGACTTGCAGAAGTCTTTCAAGTCCATTTGGCTCATGTCACTTGCTGTGTTGATGCAGCAAGAATGTACTTTAAATAAAATATAATGTTTACCTGTTTTGCTTCATTTTACTTACCTGGCTGTTATAACAGCCAGGTAAGTATGGTGATCTGGCAAAAAATGACCCCCTTAGATTTTACATTTTAGGACTTAGGACACCTTGAAATGTCAAAATGCAAAAAAAGTTCAGAGATAATTTCTGTATGTATGGATGTTAGTGTGTGGGGGGGCATAATTTTTTCACCCTGTGCTTTTTGTCAAAAATTTCTGAAATTTTGTAGGGATGTTTGGTTATTAGAGGAATTGACACTATTAAATTTTGCTGGTTGAGGGGTGAGGAGATAATGGGTACATTTACTTTTTGCTAGCTTCCAAGCTCGCTGAGCTGATACCCAGCACAGCCTGATGTCATACTAGCACGCTTGTATGAGTATACACAGTAATGGATGCCGCCATCTTTGAACAAACTCCAAGCTCGTTGTAAATTCTCCGAGCATGCCGAGCGCGCTAGGAATGCTAGCAATGACGTCACGGATGCGAAAAGTAAACACCATGCTCATTGGTAGCTAACAAAAAGTAAACAGGCTGAGCGTGCTAGGGGCGAGATCGGAGCTAAAAGTAAACGCACCCAGCAGGAGTCGTGTGTATCTCCAGTAGGGTTGGACTTAATAATGATTTTACTCGTTATTAGCATTTATAATTTTTTTAATAAAACTCATCTGTACCCTCAAAATTAAGCTTTTTGCCATTTTATAATAGTTAAAAATATATAAAAAGTTTTTAATAAAATATGATAACAGATGGCTCTACCAAAATTTTAAATGTTGCTGGAAAAGTTGAACAACTCGTTGCTGGTTTATTTATTTTATCCTATCTCCATTATTTGTTGGATCTGGAATATAATTGTTTATTGTTTTGGATATGTTAGCTTAAATTTTTAATTTGATAAATTCATATAAGAAATTTATATAAATATTATCTGAAATACATAAATAATAGGATCTATAAAGTTAGAATTTTATATTTTTATTAAAGTTGGAAATATATAACATTGTAATAAATTATTTTATGTGGTAAAATTCATTAATGTGTCTTCCATTCTTTAATGTTAACAAAATATTTAAGTTTTTTGTATTTTTTAAAATTTCTATTACAGTTTTATGCAAAGTTTATATAAAACTCTTCAGTCAAAATACAATTTTCCTCCTTACCCAGAAAATGTTACATATAATCCCAACGAAAGTTATATTTCTCATGTTCAGTTTCAAGATCAATATACTATGGCAGAATTTGTTCCTCTTGGAGTAACATACATTATCTTATTTCTGTACATTTACTTTTCAGTTTGTAAGTAAAAAAATGCATGTTATAAATCCTTTATCAATTTTATCATTAAATACTATAATAAATTTGTTTTTTGATTATTTTTAAATTTAGGTAAAATAGAAATGGTGAAATCAAAATGGGCATTAGCAATGAGTGCTGTATTTACTGTTCTTATGTCTTTATTGATGTCAGTTGGACTTTGTCTGTGGTTTGGTTTGCATCCAACTTTAAATGGAAGGTAAGAATGAGTATTTTATTAAAAATTAAGAATTTTTAATATAACAAGATATTCAAAATAACAACATAATATAAAATTGGCTTTGTATTATCAAATTTTAAGTAATTAATATATTATTCCATTTTTAAGAAATAAATGGCCACAATATATCAAAAAACCAAGTATATATTTGATAAATAATCAAATTCCACAATTACAGAAGTACTTTCACTCACAACAGGCCTTTCTTTGTAGGCAACCATCTTTTTTAAAACAATGATGCATTTTATCACATGTGAACAGAATTTGATACATTATAATGATATAATTATCCAGCTTGCAAGTTAGATTTCCATGGTGGTAGATTACATCTTCAGTTCAAATCCTATTTGAGTTTCTCATAATTTATTATGAATGATCCAAGTCAAAGCATTGGTCCTTATCCTTCAACCTCTGCTAGTAAACTCCATTATATGATGGTGTATTGAAAACTTTGTGACTTTACTTGGATGTAAGAGAGCAAAAGTCATGCTTCAAGAATAATAGAGAAAAGAAGTTATTTCTATAACTCATGCACCATAAGAGTCTATTAAGATTATTAGTTTGCATACTTTGACAGTTTGAATTCTGATTACTGCAACAAAAACCAGAATTGAACGACATTGAGAAGCATATGGTCAGAAAAGTTTTTTTGTTCTTGCAGAGGAAAGGAATGCAGGAGATTCATTCTGAGATGCTGGCAATTCTAGAGCAGGACTGCCCTCCCTCACAATGGTGAAGAAATGGGTAGCATATTTCTGAACTGGCCATTTTGAGTTAACAGATGATCCATGATCTCAGTGGCCTATTTCAGCAATAGTTGATGAAAATGTGGATGAAATTTATGATAAATCCTTAAATTGTAGTTTTCAATATGAAAAGCTTTATTACATGGTAAACAATGAATGGACATTTGTTTTGCTTTTTTCTTGCTTGCTTAGGACCCTCTGAATTTATGAAAATATACTCACTAATGATGCCAAACTTAGAATAAGAATAAACTATACTGTCTTTTGGCATTAGTCATTTATGTGAACATTTTAACTACAAGCAATTACTGTTATCATTTCAAAATATCATCTTCAGACAGAGCATATGTAATATTCAAATTACAATTTTTTAAAAGTTTTGTTGAGTTTCCTGTAGATCAGAATCCACGGAGAAAATAATTATATATATATATTAAGGACTCAATCAACGACCAAACACATGCACAAAAATAAAACAAAAAAAGTTTATTTTACCAGTACGATAACTGTGATTCCTACTACTCGAGTTTACATGATATACGATTCCTATCACTCAAGTTTACACTATATACGTATTGTCAACTTAAAACTAATAGTTATGTACAAAACCTGGATGAAAATTACATTACAAAACGTATGTCTCTCGTTGTTATTTCTAAATTTCCTTAAGATGGAAACGGATTGGACTCTTGAACTGGAAATGGTTTTCCTTTCTCACTCCTATTCTTCCGGCCTGGCCTTGAACCTTCGTATTCTCCTCAACGGATCCAAAAACCAGAATCCCCTCAATCGTGAGAGTTCACTAATTTATACCTCCCGCTCTCCGGAAGTTCGCTTTACTCATGTGTCCCACCTTGGACCAATCGGAAGGCCTTTCCCTAAGAGGTGACATCATAACACAAAAATACATGCGACATCGTACAAATTAAGAAAACCTGATACATACAAAAAGGAACCCGAGACAAAAAAATATATATACCGTGTTTCCCCGAAAATAAGACAGTGTCTTATATTAATTTTTGCTCTGAAAAATGCGCTAGGTCTTATTTTCAGGGAATGTCTTATTTTTTCCAGGAAGAAGAATTCACATTTATTATTGAACAAAAAAATGCCCAAGTCGAACTTAGACGAGAGTGACGTATATCCGGTGTGTCGAACTGTCGCCTTTTTATAGCGTCAACATCGAACTCGATGACCAATTAGTGCTTACTGAACCATAGCACTATGCAAATGTCATGTGGCATGATTCCCGGCCGACCAATTAGCCATCATCAGCCGTAATGTTATGCAAATCTGTGATTTCCAAGCCATAGTCTTATGCAAATCATGCTGTGTGGTGTAATTGTCTGCTGACCAATCAGTGGCTGTACTTTCAAAAAGCCAATGGCCACTTTCAACCATCTGTCGATGACCGTTATGACTAAAAAAAACTTCGCTAGGTCTTACTTTCAGGGGGAGGTCTTATATTTCGCAATTCAGCAAAATCTGTGCTAGGTCTTATTTTCTGCGGATGTCTTATTTTCGGGGAAACACGGTATAATAATAATACATAGTCGTGTAGCACTACAGTTTTATAACAAGAGACACATGTCTTGCATGCAACCCTATTTGATTCTTTTCTTGGAATATTTGTTAACTGATGAGATGTATGAGGTTGCAAAAGTTATTTGCATATAGCTGTTTATAAAGAGAGAGATGGCAGAAATTGTGATGTATCACATACAATACTCTGCTGTTTTATGATATAACAAAAAATTATTTATTATAGTTCATTTACATCTATAATATACCATAAATTAAAACAATAAACACCAAGTGTATCAGAAAACTGGAGCTGTTCATGTAAATAAAAAATTACACTCAATGCAAAATTTCCAGCAAAGAAATTCAATATTCTAAAGTTTTCAGCCACTATTTCATTGGCCCTCGTCAAGCATTCTATTTATAGAATGGTATTTCCATTCTACAGTTCCTGACGAGGGCCAATGAAATAGTGGCCAAAAATGTTAGAATATTGAATTTCTTTGCTGGAAATTTTGCATTGAGGTGTAATTTCGTATTTACATGAACAGTTCCAGTTTTCTGGTATACTTGGTGTTTATTGTTTTAATTATGGCAATGCCGGCCAAATGCTATAGAAAATACCATAAATTAATTTTCATTAAGAAATATTTGCTTTATTTCAAAAATGATGATACACTTTTGAAATAATTAAATTTAAAATGTTTGCAAGATAAATGATTAGAGAATACCTCATATTGTTAACGATTTGTGTATATTTTCAGAGATAGGCTCTGATCACTCATCTGTTTTACTACCAATGATCCCCTTTGTATCATCTAAAGTTTCTAATATGCAATTTTTCAGTAAACATGCAAAATTGAGAGATGAATTTAAATCTTTATTTACTGTTAGATTAGGTAATTTTTAATCAGATGTATATGGAGAAAATCTCACATTTAAGGATCTAGTGGAATGTATAAAAAAGCAACAATGTCTATGGATTTAATTTATGATGATAAATCTGCATTTCTTAAAAGTCACATAAGAAATGTAATGTATGATAGTGAGTGTTGTACCATGAGAAAAAATCTGAAAATTGTTCAAGAAGATGAAAAAGTTAAATATGGATGAATATTATATTTTGTATAAAAAGTATTTAAAAATAATAATAATGAAGTAAATTTTATCTCATTTATTTTTTTGATCCACAATTTAACAGAATAATAATATTTCTATTTGTTACAAATTTTAATACTATCTTAATCTGACTGGAGGGTTGGCACCTCCTTAGTGCCTTGTCAGGATTGACACCACTGATTGACATGGAAGCCGAGACAGTGGGTTGATTCAGTCCCACAAATGTTTCCGTACATGGTCAGATACAGGATCTAAATTTGGGTTGAGAGACAGCATACTGGAAGTAAAATACTCAAATATGAAAGTTAACAACTAAATAACCATTTATTTTCTTTGAAGAGGAATACATGATACAATATATTGACTTAACCAATCTAACTAGCAATTGTGAGAGAGACTTTACAATTGTTAAGTTGGGAAAATACCTGCGTTGATGGTGATGATTCTTGATTTGAGATTCTTGAATTGACGTTTATTTATTAAGCTACCTGTAAAGATAGTCTGTTTTCTTTAAGAACTTTCCTCAATTCTTGTGTAAATGCTTAACACCAGTATAATTGTCATGTTAATGATTAATGTCCATGTTGACAAATATATAATAAGAAATTGAATAAGGACAGTAAGGCAGTAATAATTGTATAACAAACTATCAATATGTAAATTGTGTTTAATAATGGATAATTGGTCACTAGTGTCAAAAAATTTATAGATTGACATAGCTTCTATTTTGTATGGTTGTTTCTAGATTCTCATTTGATTGAAAGTTATCAAATGTTAATTACAAGAGTGTGTTGTGAATAAAGCATCAAGAAACTTGGACTTTGTTGGAAAAAACAAGCAATTTCAATTATATTATAGCATTAAAACAACTTTGTGTGAGGATTATTTGTTTATAGACATAAATTGTTATGTAAAATGATTAATTCTGCAGCTAATATGGTCAAAATTATGTTATGGTATATAATAGTAGACCAATGATAGACTCTGAGTAATTATAATATGCAAATGTATGAAACTTGAACATGTTGTTTCATTGTGTGAAATTAGAAGCAAATAAGAAAAAGAATTTGACAAGATTTCAGTCCTGGAAAGATATAATTAATTTATCATGTTTTCAAAAATTGTTTATTATTGTGTATTTTATTTTATACTAAGCTGTTAATTAATTTGTTAAATAGTACAAACTTCAGTTTTATGTTATACTTTAACCCCTTTGTAACAAATCAAGTTTTATACAACAAAGAATTGAATTGAATAAATGAATTCAATTCTTTGGAAAATCAATAAATGTTATTTAAAGGATTATTCTTATTTTTTAAATTAAAAAAATAAGTAAGTAAATTTTATTTTATTTCTAGTGAAATATTACCCTACTTGATAGTCATTATTGGATTAGAAAATATGTTAGTTTTGACCAAATCAGTTGTTTCAACTCCAGATAATCTCGACACAAAAGTGAGATTAGCTCAAGGTCAGTTCTAAATGCCTATGTTTTCTTGAAATGAAATGAGTCTATGATATTTAATTTATGATGTTTTCAGGTTTAAGTAAAGAAGGCTGGTCCATTACAAAAAATTTATTTACTGAACTTGCACTTTTAACATTTGCTTTTTTTACATTTGTGCCAGCTATTCAGGTAAACTTTATTTTATATTTATATATACTTTAAATATATTTAAATTATTAATACTGAAAATTTTTATTATAGGAATTTTGCCTTTTTGCTGTAGTTGGATTATTATCTGATTTTTTTCTTCAGCTTGTGTTTTTTACAACTGTTCTTTCGATTGATATTGGAAGAACTGAGGTAAATACTATACTTTTTAAAATTTTTAATTTGTTTTCCATACATATATATAATATATTTACTGAAATAAAATGCTGACAAATTTGTCTCTTGCCAAATTTTTATTTACAATAATTATATGAATGTATTTTTATACATACTCTCAAGAATTATTTTTCACAGAATAATTACACAAACAATGATTTTTTAACTTATTCTTCAACATTCTTTGTTACAAGCAAAATGATATTTTTCAAATGTAATGTGCTGTGCTTTGTACAAAATTGAAATAAATTGTAATTTTCAAAGTAACTTAATAGATTAAAATATATGTTGTTCTGGAAGCATGCATTTTTATGAAATTAGTTCAACAAAATATTGAAATGTTTATGCTGGAAGTTTTCTGATTTTACACAACACATTCAAATTATAATTTTTTCATTCAGATTATGGTTTAGGTATTTGGTTTTATATTACATTATTTTGTTACATGACAATAATATAGCTTATGCCCATCAGTAAAAGGAAATATGATTTCAGTTTGACTATCTTGTTTTAACTAATTTGCATACATCTGAATTTTCTCAATATTAAAATAGTTTATATGTAATTCATTTAGTTTTCTGATTTGAGTGTGTGTAAAAAGAATTGGTCATTTATACCTTTATGTAAAGTCAAAGTTTAAGAAAATTAAACCAATTTTTAAAAATTTCCATAATAGAACATTAAGAATTTCTTTATTTTCATTGAAGAATAAGTAATTCTATATACCAGAAGTTTATTATTTGTATTTTTAACAATTGAGGAATACCTGAAAACAAGAATTGGAAATATTCCTACTGGTGATAAAGTCACACTTTCCACACTATTTCTATTAGAATACAAAAAAAAACTATTTAGACATTTGATTTCAGACTGTTAAAACCTAAAGCAGGCCACTTAATGTAGCCAGAAACATTTGTTTTGTTAAATTTTATTAAACCGTTTTGCTGGAAATAGTGTGGAAGGTATAACTTATTATTAGTAAGTTTTAGCTCACCATATTAAGTATTCCTAATGGCCAAAGAAATCATGTGAAATGAAAATTGTATTTTCTAAAATATTTAAATTATTTTACAAATTACTATGTAAATTTTAATGTTGCAAACAGTTAATTAGAATTTTTAATCAGTTATTCTTATAGAATTTTATGTAATAGTTAGATACTAAATAAGTATGTATTAGTTTCATTTTATTTGGATTTTTCAAAAATTTCAGTGATGATATGACTATATTAAGTAACATTTGTTTGAATACATTTTAACCACAAAACAGTACAATAACAAATATTATAAAAGATAATTAATTATCACTATAAGTGATAGTGATAATTAATTATCTTTATATCACTAATTCAATTTAAAACAGTTTTTAAGTAGATGAGTTTCAGATGTGGAATGCTTCTACTGATGAGCAACTAAGTGGATCAATAACTTTGTTTTATAAGAAACAGACTGCATTATTGGCTTGCAACCATAATTTAGTGATGAATTTTATATAAAAGCAAGAATTATAATTTTAATTAAAAAAATATAATTTTGTATAATGTTTCTAAAATTTTTAAATTGATTTCATTGTTTAATTTAAGAATTCTAAACTTTCTGTAATTTATATTATAAATATTATTTTATTGCTAAACTAAATTTAATTATTATTTAATTGTTTAATCATGAGAAATGTTATATATTTAAGTTTTGCTTGAAAATATTTAAAATAAATTATTCTAATATATTTAAAATAAATTATTAGAAATAAGTAAGTTACCACTTAGTTATGAAAATTGTTTACCATCTTTGGAAATTTTAGTATTTTGTATTTTAATAAACATTTTTTGAATATGTTTTATAAATTTCAGGTAACAGATTATCATAGGGATGGTCATCATATAAAATTGTTCAATTCAAAGCAGAATCATATTTATAACAAATATTCATCTGTCAGAGGAAATACATTAGAATCATCTGCAATACATAAAACAAAGTAATACTTATTAAAAATATTTAAGTAAATCATATTTATGTATCATATAACTATAAAACTATAGAATATAAATTATTTTTCAGATCAGTTTTTTAAGTTAACATTTCATATTAGATGGTTTTATTATATTATAGGTGTTCAATTGTAATTTATTTAGCAGGATAATTAAGTATGGAACTTACATTTTTAATCATAAATATTTAATATTTATAAATTATCTAATAAATTAAGTTCTCATATACAAATACATTGTAAATCTATTTAAAACTACTTTACTAAATAATAATTTTAAACCAATGCATTATAATTCCAATAATTTTCTAAATTAGTACAAGTTGCATAAATTGTTAAGAAATATTGAAATTTTTTAAACTGGATTTACATTGAAAAGTGCAGTTTATTCAATTTAAATAAAATACAAAAAACAAAGTTTGTGTAATATATTGAAATATAGTTAATTTGAATCTATCAGAAAAAATTTCGAATTTAAATTGAAAAGTTTTGAGTAATGGAGGTTTGACCAAAATTTATAATTTTGTGCATTGGTTTATTGTTGACCCATAATAAACTATCCACACTATATTACCGTGGGTCTTATTATAGGGAACCATTATGTCAATGTAAACCTCTTGGTGTTGTTCAGAAACTAAAATGCTGAACCAAATGGCTAAATAAGTTACTCAGAAATGCTTTCCTGAATGGTTAATCCATTTACTCTTAAGGGTTTAGTAAGGATTTTTTTTTTAAATTGTGTTAGTTTGCCCCTATAATATAATCAGTCTATTTTTCATTTTTTTATCATAAACCTAACACACTTTATACTTGTTAAGCTACAGTTTGAAATAAACCAGCAATGAGTCATTCAACTTTCCTGGCAACATTTAAAATTTTGGTGGCACCATCCGTTGTTATATTTTATTGAAAAACTTTTTATATTTTTAACTATTATAAAATGGCAAAAAGCTTAATTTTCAGGTTAGGATGAGTTATCAAGTCTGACCCTACTGGAGATACACACAACTCCCATTATCTCCCCATCTCTCAACCTTTAACCACCAAAATTTAATAGCATCATTTCCCTAATAATCAAACCTCCCTGCGAAATTTCAGAAATTTTTGCCAAAAAGCAAAGGAGTTATTAACCTTTCAACAGTGGAATAGTCAGGTATGGTGCTACCCCTTAGTAGTGGAGAATAAACATGCAAAATTTTTAAAGTATTTTTCCATGCATTTTTTCTCATTACTGTTTCAGAAAAAGATTTTGTAAACAGTTATGTCTAGTAAAAAAAAGTCTTTTTTTTATTGTTACAAAATTTATTTTTTATGTGAATTTTTTTTCATGGTACTTTTTGGCTCGTTTTTGGCGATACCCCCAAAAGAATTTGACGTATATATAAATCCCTCACCACTGCCACACGATCGCTCTAGACGTATATATATGTCCCTCACTGCTGAGTGGTTAAGCTTCAAACAGGGTGAACAAAATCATGCCTCACACACACACACACACACAAACATCCATACATACAGAAATTACCACCAAATTTTTTTGCATTTGTTGATGTTTCAAGGTGTCCTAAGTCCAAAAATGTAAAAATCTGAAGGAATCGTTTTTTGACCAATGACCGTACTTTTCCTCTTGTTATATATAACAGCCAGGAAAGTAAAAATTGTAGATCTATAAATTCCTACTGTCATTTGTCCATCTGTCTTTCTTTAATCTCAAGAATGGAGTTAGATAGATGAAATCCTAGACCAGATATGAAAACCTTAGGGGCAGGAGATCCTGATTGATTATATAAGAAGTTCGGATAAAAACCATGTCATGTTGTTTCAATTCACTTTTTTCCTGAAAGTAGTTAATAGATGACTGGCATGACTCCATTGCAAACAGAAAAGTATATTGTACAGGGGCAAGACACTACAGTACTAATTTGAGGTGGAGAGAATATATTTTAAATTAAATTAATTAAAAATATGATCAAAAATTGCAGCCTGGCATTATGACAAATGTCACAATAAATAATTGCTCATTATATTTTTAAAATTTTTACATAGTCAGATTACAATAGTTTTTTAAAAATTAATTTATCAAAAATCCATTTATTTATTATGTCAGCTAGTCAGAGAAATTCGTGAGCAATCAAATAAAACAAAATAAAAGCAGGTTCAAATAGCAGTTACAATATCTAGGTGACACATACTGTCCAGAAGCCATCACACAACAAATATGAATACCTCCGTCACACAACACAAAGTTTATTTTTATTTGTAAGTGGTTCCCACATTATATAGAAAGTTTCTGATTAGTTTATTTGATAGATAAATATTAATTATTTTATTTAATGAAAAATTAAAATTCCGGAGAGTTTATGAAAATACTGTATCAAAACCCCATTTGAGTTAACCAGTTTGATTTAATATGCTAATCCTATGCTAAAGGATCAGGGAAAGAAAATTACTTCAAGTAAATGCAACTTCAAGTTATCCCTGTCATTCTGCTGTGGGTCATCCGAACAGTAAAGACTAGTGAGAATGTGCATGATAGTTTCCTCCATGTTGTTAGTGTAGCGACCATTGGGGAGCTGGATAGTGGAGGGGGGTTTGAAGCTGGCATTTTTCCTTGTAAGGAAAAACAAGAGGTGTCCACACACGTTTTAATATGTTTTTATAACAACTTACCAAATAGGACCTGTCATGCTTGGGAAATCTGTCTTTCCATCTCAAAGTTGACACACTGTCCTACATGTCCACTTTAAAAATTTCAAGCACCTGCAATACCTTGAGTTGTTTTATGTTGGCTGTTGTTCTAATCAATGTCACTTGTAAATTAGCTTGAATTTCATCATTACCTCATATTTGAAAAGGCATTGGATTCTTTTTATTTGGGTGTTTGTTTGATAATTGGAGTAATTATTGGATTGGTTGTATTTACTACATTTCTGTTACTTAGAATTTTACAGTGTGAAATATTAAAAATTTTATTTCTTAATATTAGTTACTTTTTATTTTATATTCTGCAGATTTGGAAGCACCCATCTAAAGTCTCCATTTGTTTCTCAACAAAACTCATATCCAATTAATCAGGCAAATGGGAAAACACCTATACTTGTCAAATTACCAAAAAGATTAAAATTTGTGTACTTTTGGGCACGTACTAGGATAGTTCAAAGAGGTTTGATGGTAAAAAATTTTTTGATTCTATTGAAATAGCATTTGAGTGCATTCTCTCATTTTATTTTCTCCTTTTCAGATCTGTCTAGTTTTTTGGATTTTTCTGTTATTATACAAGTCTGGAATTGTTGGACATCTTGCAGATAACACCACTCGATTGGGTCCAACTCTTAGTGAACAAGGTTAATTTATATATTATAATTCTTGTAAAATAGATAAAAAAAATATTAGTTTTTCAAAACCGCAATGCAGCGTAATAATCAACACTTGGCATAACTCATTCATTTATTTCAGTTTTTGTTGTAAATAAATGAATGAGTTATGCCATGTGTTGATTATTACACTGCATTGCAGTTTTGAAAAACTAATATAAAGACACAACATGGTTTTGAAATATGAAATAAAAAATTTAATTACACAATATGTAATAAATTATGAATAATAATATAATAGTTATAAAGTAATTGTACTTTCAGTGGCACCTTTGTTCTTCACTCTGACTGGCAGTTCTATTAAATCTAAAGGATCAGATTTGAATACAGAAAGGAATGAAGAAGAAAGCGAGCATACCAGTTCCAAGAAATTTTGGCTTTATCATCATAAACTTAATAATTGGCAAAGTTTACCTTCTAGTTATTGGTCTACACTCTTTCGATGTTACAATATATCTCTTTCTGGAAGGCAAGTAATTTCTTAAAAGAAGAAATTTCAAAATTAAAATTTTTTTTCTGTTTGAATATTTACTATCTTTATTATTAAAAGTAATAGCATATATATATATATGCTATTACTTATATATATATATATATGCTATTACTTTTAATAATAAAGATATTACTTACATAATAAAGATATAACTTTTAATAATATATGCTATTATATATGAAATTTTGTATAGAAATTTATTAATAAAACTGCAAATATCAAAACAGATATGCAATAAACTAGATAGAGAAATTGTTGGAAAAAATTTGAATTTTTATAGGAAAATCTACAAAACTTTCATTAACAAAAGCTTTTAAATATATACACACAATATAATGATCATGTGGCAAAAGATTCTTTGAACATTATGAAAAATCCAGATTCAAATCTCTCCAGACGTTTGCACATTTTATGAATAATTAAATTGAGGTATTAATCTCTAATATATGCTGGCTGTTCTTATTGCTGATCACACCTGTCTACAATTGACAGATCTGTAGTTTGCAATATATCCAATGTATGTTATTTCTTGTGGAAAAAGTTGATCTGAAGCAATTCATTGATTTTATTGTGATGATAAAATTATAAAATGATTAATTTATATGTTGCTTTTTGAAGTTAGCAATATATTTTAAGAGATGCACAAATAGTACCTGTTATTTAAAGTTTAAATAGAAAATTTTATTTAATTAATATATATTTTTTAACAGAAACGTCTTATTTATAATAGTTTTTGTTTTTTATAATAAAAGGTTAAGATTTATTATTTTCATACAAAATAAATTTTCATATGTTACTGTAAAAGCCAATAATTGGTAAAGCCATATATTGGTAAATCCTAGGTTTTACTTGTAAATCTTCAGATTTACCAACACAAGTTGGTAAATGTAAGGATTTTTATAAAGTGAGATGATATACCAAGCTTTTACCATTAGAATTTGGTACATGCTAGGTTTTACTAAAGACGGTTAGTAAATGTTGGTTTTGGAAATATAACTATGACTGTTTTAATAATTATTTATTGCAATTATTATAAATAGTCAACTTACTAAGTCCTATTTATTAATAACTAGTGAAACAGTTTAAAAATACTTGTTTAACATAACAAAAATTAAATTATTATGTCAAAAATAATATAATAGCCTACGTTGGCTAAGCTAATCCATAGCTTCTTGATAACAAGCACTGAGTTCAGCATTAACACGATTTTCTTATATTGCAAGTACTTTTAATTATTATATCGTCGTCCTCAGGCGAAAAAGAACAAATTTGAAAAATAGAATGTGCAGGGTGTTCCGAGTAGAAAACAGAAAATTTTCTTGTCAATTTCTAAATTATAACGTTCAGTAATTCCATTGGTCACGTGCAAGAAGCTTTTGCGGGCGTTCAAAATATCTTAAATCCACACGACTAGCAGCGCATGCGTTGAGGAGCAATTGTAATAATTCTGCGACTCTTGTCGCATTTTGTTGTTTAATTAAACACTGGTATAAAGTAACCCATATTTTGGGTAAGTCAAGGGTGGGGACATTGCATGCGTCTGTGGTCATTGTAAGGAGCGCTTCCCAAATAAATGTAGTCCTTCTGTTATTACAGTGCTTGAGCAATGCTGTTTTTGACCATAACAGGTCATAGCCCTGCTGCAGAACTTTTCTGGTGAGCTCTGTGGTCTGTCTTCCTTTGTTTATATCCTCCTGATGTTCTGCGATACGGCAAGCGAGCATTCTTGTCGTTGCCCCTATATACTTCTCAATTATCCCCGTTATTGGATTTTCTAGTTGCACTGCGTATAACTCCCGATGTTTCTAAAACATCGACTTTATCCTGATCATTGCATACGCTCCTGTGTAGGCTGGGTAGGGGCATTAAAGGAAGGGTAAAGCTGTATCACCGGAAAATACGGCTATTAAGTATGGACGGGTGCTCCTAGGTATGGCAATGCTGATTGCACTCTAGACATTTCTTTTTTGCTGTATAGTGTGGTAAATGGGAAAAGAGAATCTTTTACTCCATGTAGTACATGCATAAATTTGGCACCTGTGAATCCAGCGTGATGTACTGCTGTTCTTACGATTTCCAACTTGACTTTTATTAGAGCTTGCGATGAAGGAAGTAGCATCACTCTTCTGATAAGAGCCACTATGGCAGCATTGACATACTGCGATGGTTGAAATGCATCAGCTGCAATGATATAGGGGATCATGTTTGACTTATGATGCACTTTAAACTGTGGCCCTTCTAGTGACTTCCATATCTGCATATCCAAAAATGTTATAGATTGATCCTGCTCCTTTTCCCAGGTGAAATTGATGGTGGAATGGATGCTTGAAAGTTGCTGCATAAACTGGATAAACTCCTCTTCTGAATTTTCCCATATTAGTGGGATTTCGTCTACATAGCATAAGTATAGTGATGGGTCGCATATAGCAAGTGGGGCTTTGAAAGGTTTTTGTTCTACATCTCTCATAACGAGCTTGGCTAATACTGCTGAGAGAGGAGAACCCATGGAAACTCCTTGCTTCTGTAAATAGACTTTCTGGTTGAAGCAGAAATAGTTGTTTTTGGTGATGAAGATCAGCGTTTCACGAATATCTAGCACTTGTTGAACCATTAAACCTTTTCTGAGGAACATGGCGTTGGCTAGCATTATGGCTTCAAATACAAGGACAAGGTAGCCCCTCTTAGTATCGGACAAGGACAAAAGATTTGTCCTTGTCCGATACTAAGAGGGGCTACCTTGTAAGAGGGGGACCACTTTGATAACTGATCAGTTTCCATCCACATGCTCAACATATTTTCTGTCTTGATTAGCACGCTCCACTGATCCTTGACTTTGGCTATGCCTTGCCTTTCCATGTATGATTTTTACATCTGTCCACATGGAACATAAACTCTCAATAACTTGGTGAGAGAATTCTTGACCATTATCGGAATGACGGATGCTTGGTGCTCCAAAAGTGGTGAAAATATCCAAAAGATGGTGTGCAATCACAAATTTGGTAAGATGGTCTTGGTAAACTAAAATTATTAATTAATTTATAATTTCCATCTAGGTAATTTGTAGATCTATTAGATCAACCTGACAGCATGAATTCATTTCACTGTGAAGTATAAGTCTGATGACAATGCCCTTTTTCAAAGTCTTTTGTTTCTTTTGGCATGGTTGAAATAGCTGCAAATATGTCATAGTAGCCTCAACTGTTACATTTTTATACTTGTGGTTACATTCCTTAAGCATCCGTGTTTTTCCACTGTGGCCAACAGCAACATGAGTTTCTTCGAGAATGTTGAATAAGTCATCGTAACAAATGTAATACCTTATTTCTCTATTCTCCTCCTCCATAGGTGCAATTAGTTTTTCTTTGCTGCCTATAGTCAAAATATCATAACACTTCATACACATGTAATGAACAGCTAGTTTCTTTTTCATGTTCTTTGCAGCTTTTGCTTCCTCCAAACACTGCATATTTGTCCCTATTGAGATAAAAGTTATCATCTTTCTTGCTTGCCACGAGCCCATCCATTATTTTATAAAATCTCCGTTTCACACTCATCTTGATTCATAAATAACTTTCAGACAGCGAAATTTCAAACAGGATTAGAATTAATATGCATGTTCTAACATGTCAAATGATGGAATGCGGCAGTGCGGGTAGTGGGGAGTATTTTTTCAACATTTACCATGTTTCTGAGGTAAAACCTAAGATATACCAAGTAAATGCTGGTAAAAGTTCAAAATTAATGATGATTGCATAACATTTTGGACTTTTACCACAAAGATTTGGTAAATCTTAGGTTTTACTGGAAGATCTTAGGATTTACCATAGTTCAAGCATTTACAGCAGTGTTTCTCAATGGGGCGAAATTGCCCCTATGTGGGCGTTTTTCCATGTTGAGGGGGCGATTAGTAACAATTTATAGTTTGGGGGCAAAAAACAATTTTATAGGTGATATAGTAAAACATTATACAGGTATACCTCGCCTTACGTCGGTAATTGGTTCCAGGAGAACGACGTAAGTCGAATTTACTTGTCTCCGAATCTACTTGTCACTAGGCTAAACTATAAATTACCATTCTCGGTTCTGTATTTTATTTATTAATGCATTTTTAATAATATATGGTTAATAAAAATCTATTTTAAGCTTACAAACAAATAAATTTTAGTTTTTAATATAGTACAGAAAAAAGTAATCTAAATTTACGAATGCATGTACTGTAAATACAGTACATACTTGTAAATGTATATATTTTAATATGATTTTATGTGCTTTAAACGCTTTTCTAGTGATATTACGACTTCAATATTTGTGGCGGACAGACGTAAAGTCGAATAAAATGACTTAAACTTGATTTTTATTTTTCCATATACTTTTTTGACAAACGACGTATAATCGGGAACGACGTAACTCGAAACGACGTAAGTCGAGGTATGCCTGTATTAGGAATAATTTGAAGTGAAGGGGTGATACTACATTGATGGGGCCAATGATTCATTAGAGGTTGAGAAACACTGATTTACAGTAATACATACACTTACATAAATTATAATTATAATTAATGCTTTTATCAAAAGATTTGATTTCCATCTGTAATTTGTTTTATTATATTTTATTTATGGTATTGTTTATACATGTTTTAATGAATCAGTTTTGCATAAAAATAATTTCATTACTTTAAATATTTTACAGCTATTTATAACTGTCATCTGTATTAATTAGTAAAATTAGACTTTTTATATCGGTAATTTATTATAGACCAGTTACTGTTCAAAAGTAGGAACTTAACAGTGAAAATATATTTAATGCATTTAAAGTTTATAACTTCAAATGATTTATGATTGATTAGTTAAAATGATAAACCGAGATATTGAGTAACAAAAATTCATCACAGATATTAAGAATATAGGATAATTATGCATATATTTAAAATTATTCTATATTCAAAAAGCCTGTAATGAACTATTACTTGGTAATATTTCTTTTTTAATTTGTGTAAATATTTCATAAAAATTATTTTTTGGGGGAATTTCAATGATTTTTCTGTTAATATTTTTTAAGTAATTTTGAAATGTAATTTTTTTATGTTTTCAAACTAACAATAAACATTTCATTTCACTTTTATTTACATATCATTAATTTATTTTTTTTAATATATTATAGAACTTTAAGGTTTAAATGTTTTTATACAAGTGAAACTTTCTAATTTATTTATTTTAGTGATATTAAACAAAACATTTTATTTGAAACGCATAGTATTAAAATTTGTAATAAATAGAAATATTATTTTTCAAACAAGATTATTCTGTTAAATTGTGGGTTGAAAAGATAGATAAATTAGACAAAATTTATTTCATTATTATTATTTTTTTTTTTAAATACTTTTGGCATAGATAAAGATACATATTTTCATGTTGTATCTCATTATTTGGAGAGAGACTGGCCTCTAAAATTCAACAGTCAATATTTTNTTAAAATTTTACAACGAAAATTCAATTTACTTCAAAAGATACATATTTTCATGTTGTATCTCATTATTTGGAGAGAGACTGGCCTCTAAAATTCAACAGTCAGTATTTTGTATATCTGATACATTTATAGAAACTCTTCAGAGAAAGTAGCCATGTTTTTGTCATTTACTAAAAAAAATTAAAAAAAACTGCATTTAATTTAGAAGAAAATTAAGTTATCATCTAAATAGAAATACTAAATTTAAACATTTTGATCTCTCTGTATATGAAATTTAATATATTAATAATATATGGGAATGTTTTTAATTTTAAGAAATAAAATTGTTTTTCTTGAATTTCATAATCAAGGAATTGCATAATCAAGGTATGCTAAAATATTGAAGATATCTAAAGAAATTTTAAAAAATCGTGACAGAATCTAAATTCTTTCCACATTAGAATTAAAGATTATTATAATTTAATAACTAATCACTATATTTTGAAAATATATATTTGCTTAAATTCTATAAATATTAACCAAAATATTAAGGTTACTCTTTAATTAAAAACTCTTTATATTCTCTTAATATACTCTTTATTTAAAAACGTTTTTTGCTGACTTAGAGCCATCTTCAGTTAAGAACAATTTTAAATTTAAAGAATAGCTTATAAAATGGAATGTAGAATAACAAGCTGTTGAAATAAGGACAACAATTTAAAATTATCTCCTAGAATAGCAATCTTTAACTAAAAGAATAAAAATGTTGAAATTAACTTTTAGAACATTACATAGAATATTTTTTATCATTTATCATCACTACATTTGCAAAATTGTTATAAGATTTCTTAAATAATAATTTTTAAAATTTAAAAGTAATAATGTAAATTAAGATAGATGGTATCCCTAACTCTGGATCAATAACGTTTACATCATTTTAAAGCTTATCTGGAAAAGTTGTCTATTTAGATAACTGTTGGAGCTTTAAAATGATGTAAACATTATTGAAAATAAACGTTTTTTTTTTTGTATTTCTAAAAAATAAGAGACCTTACTTTTGGGATTATCCTCCTAGTTGTTTGAATTTAACTTAAATTATTTTTAATTGATAATTTATTAAACTTTTATACTTAAATTATATTATTATAAATTATAATTATTGTTTCTATAATTATCAATTTCATTCACTTATAGATAATGAATATTAAATAAATTATAATTACATTTTTATAGTTACATCAGTATGCTGCCCACCATCCATCTTTCCATTCCCGTAGATCCAGATGTTGCTCTAAAATTGCGACATCCTGCCGAAGTCTATTATAAGTCTAAAGATAACCAGAAATTTTCAGGTGCTAATATTGCAGATTTCTTTAGATTTAAAAAGTACGAAACGAAATAAATTTTTACTAAAAATATGGTTTTCGTAGATTCTTCAGAATTCGACGATCCACCCGTTCTCGATATACCTTATCATCCTTCGTCTCCGGCGGAAGTTGCCCTTGCCATCGCTTTATCCATTCCCAGTATAATATTTATTGTCTACGTCATGGTTCTTTTGTATCGTTGTATGTGTTCTCGGCATTATGCGGAGTGGAGAAGTTCCTGGTCACATCAAAAGTTGAATAATTCTGCTAGAGAAGAGTATACCTGTGCCGAATCGGATAGTTACTTTATTTCTGAGACATTCCCCATAAAACTACAGGGGCATTCTTATGTGATTAATGTTTTTCTAATATAATTTATCGTAAATATTAAACGCTGACATAAAAACATTAATTATTTCAGGAAATTGAGAATTTTGTTGCCGAAGAAAATATCGTTGCCAGTTCCTGTTTAGGAGGAGATATTTGCATCTGGGATGCACTTTCTGGCGAATGTGTGAAAATCATCAAGAGGGCAAAGTAGGAATCCTCTTTTTTACTGTTGTTATATGAATATTAATTTTATCCGATATAATGAAACCATTCCATGTATTTTAGAAGATCGAATAAACAGGAAAATGAGAATTTTGCTCATCGAAGAAGTGTGTCGTCCGGTTCTAACAACAGTTTGTCCGTTTCTGTCGAATGCGAATCAAACATTCCAAATAACCAAACTAGTGAATCTGTTTTCAGCAATAAATATCGAATTAGTCTGACGAGTCAGACTTGCTCCGAGTTCGAGTTAAGAAACAAGAATCGTTCGGGTTACGATTTTAGTAAATATTGTAAATGTCTGGACGTTAAAAAGGACGTAAATTTAAACGTGGAGAAAGACGTGGACAAAAACAGTAATTTAAATAAATCAAACGATATAAATGTCGGACATTTAACCGAAAACGAGCCTAGGAGAGATTTGAATACAAAATATTCGTCCCTAAAATATCAGCCCGTGTGGTGTATGGACTGCAAACAGGATCGTCTAGTTCTGGGTTGTTCGGAGGGTCGGTTGGAAGTACGTCCGTCGCCGGTAAAAGGTAGAAATTTATCATTTCAGAAATTGCTAATATTAACAAATCTCTCCCGTTTCAGGTTTGGGATACAAATTCTGGCCAGCTTCAGGCTGTTTACGAAGATAACGATTCTGGAATAACGTCGGTTTATTTAGTAGAAAACAGGTGACTTTTTCTTGTTAAAATACTGGACAGTTAAAATTTTACAACGAAAATTCAATTTACTTCATTTTTCATTTTTTTTAACAGGATAATTGCGGCAAGATTAAACGGCATTTTGGAATTTTTCGTATTAAATAATTTAGAGTGTCATAATGAAGAGCTATTTAAAAGTAATTTATAATTTATATATATATTTTAATTAGCATAACAAAGCTAAATATTTTCATAACATTTGACCAGTGATTGATTGATTAATTGTTAAAAAATAATTGAATAGCAATCTGAAATCTCTCATTAGAAATATTCGAAATGTTTGATGTATCAAATTTAAATTGTTGTAATTTATCACGAAGATGTTTTGTCATTCTGTACGTTACCATAGTTAGTTTTTAGTTTTTTGAATCGTTAAGTTTCTCATTTTGTTTTCTAAACGCCATTTAAATTCCAATTTCCCTTGGAACAATTATGTTCAAAGTAGTCAGAGCGTAATTTTATTAATTTTGTTCTTACACCTGTAATCGGAGTAGACTCCAACAGAAGAGAATCAAATAACTGAATATTCTGGTGTTACGATTACTCCACAATGCCTATTCCGACGATTTTTGGTATTACAACGTTGTCTCTAGTTTCACTAGTTCTTATTTTTATAATGTTGTTAGGGAATTTTATGAATTTATTAAAACGTATTTATTCGAATATTAAACGCCATCTTAATTTTTACACTTTGGCCGACGGATTTTTATTATTATTATTTTTCGGAAACAGATAACCGGAGTTTCCTCCGCGGTAAATTTATTTCGTAATGAAGTAAGTTATAGTCATATATCACTGTTATCAGTGTATCCAAGTCGAATTTTCCGTGTCGGGTTCTTCCGAATTAACACCGGATTCGGTGTTCTCATCTCGCGAACACGGAAATGCGACATCTCTCGAAAGAGTGGCGCGTAATTTTCTCTGGGATTTTCGGCATTATTGTAATAGTTAACGCGATAGAGCCAAGTCGACCCGGCGTGCATTTGCTAATAGCAACGTCAGTCTAATAGAATCATTAATATGACATAATGGAATTAGTGTTAGCGTATTTCCTACGACGGCCGTTGGAGGAAATACGGTTCGGCAGCGACGTAACGTAAGTTTCGAGTGGCAAGTGCCAAATTTTGGAAATACGTAGTCGTTTTTAATGCCTATTTCCTCCGTGCAATAAAACACGTCCCGTTAATTATAATAATTCTTATTTTGTTTATTCTCCGAATATCCGTCTTGGAATTTTTACAAGTTTCCATATTCGGATCTTAGTTTAACTTAATTAATAGGTTAATTTAAATGGTAATATTTGTTTGTCTGGTGGCTACATTTCGTTAAAATGACATTTTTTTTGTAAATTTTTAATCGAGATATTTTTACAGACTCGATAATTTAAATAATAATCGCCGTTCGGGCTTAATACTTTTTGCTATAAATTTCTATTACAGAAATAAACGGAGTATCGACTCCCGTGGTCGCGTCCACGCAGAATACGAAATTAAAATGCTCTCTGTCCAGTAGTATCCACGCTCACACTCAACCTATCGTGAGATTAGTGGTCGGAGGAGGTCACGTCATCACGGGTAGTCAAGATCATCTCGTAAAGGTAATTTCCCACGGTTATATTTATGACGCGGTTTTTCCGGCCGCGCTACAGTTTTTAATAATTTTAGGTATTCCGATACGAATCTCTCGTCTGTATATACACTCTCCACGGCCATTCGGGTGGCGTAACCGCATTACACATGGACCAGGTAAGCGTACCATTACCGTAAATTGTAAAATCCAATGCTGAGCTGTAACACGTATTTAATGCTCAGAATCCCACGTCGTCGGCGGCCAGCGGGTGTCAAGACGGAATGATCTGCGTGTGGGATCTTCTCACCGGTACCTGCGTTTACAGTTTGGCCGCGCACAGGGGTGCAGTCAGGACCCTTTTGACCACGTATATGTACGTAATTAGTTATGGTTTGGACGACTGCATGTGCATCTGGGAAAAGTGCCAAGGTCACTTGTTACATACGATTCATCAGGTTAGGTCGATAAAACTTTCCAAGCAGCTCTTATAAATCGAAGTTTATCTTAAAATCCCGGTTTTTTTTTTCTTCCGCAGCCTTACAGTATATGTCACAACGTCGTCCTACTTACTAATAACGTCATCGTTACTGCGAAAGAAGTGAGTTCATTTATTAAAACCTTTGTAATTGTTTTATAAAGCGTAACCGTGTAAATTTCTTTGGACAGGATCATCTGGTGTTGTGGGACGTGAATCACGGCGAGACCTTACAAATGATAAGTCTGGGGTCCTACGAACAGGGAGCATTCGTCAAAAAACTGAAACTGGCCGGAAGAGCGTTGGTGTGNTTTTTTTTTCCAGTTTATATAGTAAATACCGGCAAAGTTAAGTATTTGTATTTCTTTAATTCACTAGTTAGAGGGTGAAATAAAATATTCTGCACATTCGAAATAAACACTTTTTTATTGATATTAAAAAATACTTTACGTAAAAATACGTAAAAAATACTTAAAAAATGACCGTTATTAGTTGATAATTCGATTAAAAAAGATACCAAAATACATTCGAGTGATAATATATAATGTTGTAATCTTATATAAGAAGTAAAAGAATGGATTTTCTATTAAAAGAAACTTGTAGTTACTTCTTTTAGCTGAAATTATCCTTTGGAAATTCGAATGTACGACACGTGCAGCGAAAAAAAAACAAGACTACCGCGACACTAATGTGATCACCTGACCAAACGCGCCTCGGCCCGACGCGTGTTCGAAGCGGTGGCTCTTAACGCCACCTGCCTTTAGCGCGCACCATAAATCGAATAGCCCGGCCCTTACCAAAGCCAAGTTCCTATTTAAAAAACGTGCTCGAGCAAATATTACGCGTGATAATAAGTCTCGGTAACGCGCAAATTGCTTGGGCATACGTCGACCGTCATTTAGAACTGCGTCGGTTAACTAATGGTGGTCGCACCCGCGGGCCAATTAGTCCGAAACGCGCCGAGCGTCGGAGGAGACGACTTACCCGGGCGGGCGTGGTGGGTAAATGGCCTCATTGGTCGAAAACGTATCGCGTGTCGAGCATTCGACACTCGAGCTGTCATCGTTCCCATTCATTTTGAAGGATCCACAATAGAAGTGAATGGAACGGAACACGAACCGGTGGCTCCATCTGACGCCGGTTCTATATTTAGAGCCGGGTCGAAGTGTTTGGCGTGCCATTTGTAGGACGAGGAATCTACTTTCGCTATTCTTGGTTCGGTAACGATTCTAGAAGGATCTCGTCTGCTCTGTGGATTAAATCCTCCTCTCTCTCTCTCTTCCTTTCCGACGCTACCGTTAACGACCGAGCTTAACTAAAGGTAAATTACTATAAATACCTACCACCACCCCATAATTCCCGTGTTTTTTTAGTTGGAAAACTCGTCCGTTTTTATCGTAGATTAATCCAACGTTTAACTAGAATGTTCGCTTTGTCAATATTTTCTGTTTTGACCACTTTTTTGACGTCTTAAATTATTTTTTGTTTTTTTTTTTTCGAGTATATAGAAATGTCAAGTCACTTGTCGGCCATATTGAATTGGCAAGCGAAACTCGCAATTGCCAGCTGTTCTTAGATGTTTCGAAGCGCTCCTCTGGGAGCTGAAGGATTGACGGAATTATATAAAAGTAAATTTTTCCCTACGAAATTAAAATTTCGTAGGGAAAAATTTACTTTTATATAATTCCGCGAACGGGTTAAATTCCGTAATTGGGTAGAAGGGTGTGCAGAGATTACTCTATGGAAGTCTATAAGTTACCGTGCCAAATTTTTATATAGAAAACCTAAATGAAGATCTGGGTATTATTTTAAAAGTACAGTCGCACTTAACTGTTTTTAAGAGGTTAGAAAGAGCGCTCTTCCGCCGTTACCAGAAACCCAATTAGGTCGGCGTGGATCATCTTTAGTAATTATTCGGAGTTAATGTACCGTTGTCTTTACAGATGCGTCGTCTCTGAGAATTGGCTTTGCCGAATTGCCGAGAAATGAATTTTAAGGAATGTTTCTTCGACTGGTTTGAATCGTTATTTTGAAGAGAGAAAATGACGGCCGCGTGGAATCAGATGGACGTTCTCCTAACTTGCTCCGTGTGCAACGAAAGGTTCAAGAACCCTAAATTGTTGCCATGCCAACACACCTTCTGTATGGAACCGTGCCTGGAGAAAGTGGCCGACTCGTCGAGACATCAGGTGAAATGTCCCGAATGTAACGCGGAACACAGGATACCTTATCAGGGGGTTCAAGCTTTTCCCAACAACGTCACCCTAACTCGATTCCTAGAACTGAGAGTCAGCGTCAACGGTCAAGCTCTCGAGCCTCCTCCGTCCATGCTGAGGTGTGCGGTGTGCAACGAAAAGGAGAGGTTAGAAAAGTGCTGCCACTGCAACAAGAAGATATGTCAGAGTTGCAAGAAGGCGCACGTGGCTCTACTCAAACAAGAAATCGTGTTGATAAACGGCCAGGTTAAAGTAGGTCTGGCTAATTTATCGGGGACGCTCAATCAAACCAAACAGAACAAAGACAAACTTCAAGAAAACTACAAATGCGTGAAACACAAGATCGAGGAATTGATCAGAAGGTACACCAGCGATCTGGAAGAAGCGGAGGAGAAGCTTAAGCACGAGCTCGAGGTCTACCTGTGCACGGAGGAACGTAACATCACCAAATTGAAAAACGACTTGGAGCTGGAGATCAAAAATATCACCAGTAATTGCGAAATGGTGGAGAAATACATGAGTAACGGGGTGGAGTGGACCGACGCGGAGCTGATGGACTACAAAGACGTCTTCCAGAGGACTTTAGATTTCGTCAGGAATTTCGAGCCCGACACCTCCGATTTCAGCAGGAGAGTGAAGTTTCATTCTAGAACGGATCTGGAAACTTTCCGGAAATCGCTGAAAGAATTTTGTAAATTAGAGAACAGCCCGAGCGTAGTGGCCATCCCTAATTTATACCAGAACGGATTGATCCTGAGAAGTCAGAGCGACCATCGTCTGGCCATGCAACACTCCAGGCACGAAGAACCCAAAACGGACGCTTCGGACAGGGAACCTTACAGGCGGTTCGGGGATCGAAACGTTCGGGAACGCAGCGTCGAGCGCGACGCGGGGCGTCACGATGACAATTACCTGTCGCCGCGAAGAAGAGAGGACTCTCGTCGCGGCAGCCGAGGCCAGTCCAGAGAAGGAAGTCCAGAAGTGCCCAGAATCGTGGAAGAACGCGTGGAAAAGATCGTAGAGACCGAAGACGCCACCAAAGGGCCGATCAGCAAAGTGGTGCGATTGTTGGATTCGCCGCAGGTGATGGAAAAGTTGCATCAGTCGGAAGTGCGGAAGAAGCAGCAACAGAAGGAACAAGAGAGGAAGGCGCAGCAACCTCCTCCTCGACCCGTTTCCACTTATCAGCCCAGAATCCAGCGACAGGTGAGCGAAGACGACGTGGACAAACAGAAGAAGCAAAACCAAGCGGCCGCGGCGTCCACTTCGGACAAAGACGACGCCAGGAGCGTCAGAAGGACGTCGGATACCACCACCGCGCCCAAACCTCGTCAGGAGCTCAGGAGTTTCAGAACGTCGACCGAGTCGGAGACCGAGACTGCCAACGGCAGGAGAGTGGCGACCGACACACACAAGCCTCCAGTTTCTCCGCGTCAGCCTCCTCAACCCGCCAGGTATTTCCCCATTTTAACCGGGGTTTTTTCTCTTTCTTCCTCTTTGTAACGCAATTCGTCTTTGCAGGCCCCCCAGAAGCGTAACCGCTAAGAGTGGCTCGACGGAAACCGAAGACAAAACTCGATCCACGCCTCCCAGGCCGCGCCTCAACCCCGTAAGCACCAAAGAAAAGAACGAAGAACCCGAAACGCGCAAGAAACCTTTCGTCAGCCGTTTCCTGGTCCAGCGGAAGGAAAACGACAAGCGCGACGACTCCAGCGATTCCAGTAGCGACGACGAAAAAGACGGCAAAACATCGAACAGGGGAGACCTGAGTCCCTCTGTCAGTGAATTGTTGGCCAGAAGCGCGCAGGCCAGAAGACAGAGTCTGACCTCCACTAACTTGGGCACCAGATCGCCCCTGTATCCCGCCCCCTCGGAGGGCCCCGGCAGCTGGCGAGACGCCTTGCGACGCAGGGACAGTCCGACGTCTTCCGCGAGAAGGCGACCCCCCAGCGAAGAATCGGAGGACGAACCGTCCCCTTACCTGCGCTACTCGGAGAGGAGGAGGAGTGTGGCGGCGCTGGAATCTAACCCGGCCACATCTGACAGGAATCGCTTCCGGAGTCGCATCGCGCGAAGCAAGAGCTCTCACGACATCGCGCTGGGGGAGGAAAGCGAGGAAGATTCCAGCTACACGCGATCCAGGACGTCGCGATTCTCGCGCGAGACCAGCCCGGCCAAAGAAATGGGTGGCTACGCGCAGTACCTGAAGAATAAATATGCTAGGAATCGCATCAGGAACGAAGGAGGGGGAAGCGACGACAGTTCGGACGAAGAGGATGGGTCAGCCGGCCGCAGGAGGGACGGTCCGGTGTCCAGATATGGAGAAAATTTCGGGTCGGCCGCCTCGCGAAGGCATTACCTGCAGAAGGGGAAGCCCGTTCTCAAGTTCGGCACGCGCGGAAGCGAACCCGGATGCTTCACCTGGCCCAGAGGGGTGGCCACGGGACAGGACGTGGTGGCCGTGGCCGACAGCAGCAACCACAGAGTCCAGGTGAGTGCGGGCCGAGGCGCTAAAAGTATAAATTTCGTTCGTAAGAAAGGCGGAGTCCCGCCTGCGGGATAAAAGGAAGTGGATAAACCCTGGACGCGGTACCGGGAGAGACCGCGCCACTTCCGGAGATAACCGGAAGGATAACGGGGCGCGGCGGCTTACGTAAAAGTAAACAAAGGGTTTATCCGAAATAACAATAGTTTCCGGCGCAAATCCACCCCGTCCGTTCCATTAAACGACGGTTTTCGTTTTCCATTCCGGAAGTCCGGTCCCGCCTCCTGCAATCGTACCACGCCTCGTACCACGGGCATAATTTACGGGCAGGAGTCCGGTTCGCCAATATATTTTTACGCAAAGAATTATTCGGCGCGTAAAAAACTACGCGCTGCAAGGAAGTCGGGTTTATTTGCGGCGCATAATCTTTACAATAGATGCGTTACGGAGGAAGGAGCGGGAAAGCGGTAACGACGGAAGCCGGGGGCGGTTCGGAGGGGTGGAAGAAAACAAAATGGGGGCGGAGGAAAGACGACGGAAAGAAACAACAACGGCAGTCGGCCACCCGGGTGCGCGCTTTTAACCGCGGGACGGATATTTTAACGGGCGTCGTCCCGGTCGGGAGGAATCGGGCGGGGGTGACGTACTTTCTAAATACAAAAGAGGTTTGGCCGACTTTTAAAATACGGCCAGAGAGCTTCCGTCGGTATTTCCCCCGTCTTGGCAGCCGCCGCCGTCGACCCGGCCAACTTCCCCGTCCCGGCATCTTCCTCCCCTCTCGGTTAAAGCGTCCCTGGTGCCGGGGTGGGCGGAAGAGGCCACCGACGGGCGGCTTCCGTCACGGAAAACCCGAACGGGTCGCGGGAAAGAAATGTCCGCGGGTTTTAAATTACGGGGGGAGGAAAAGTGACGCCCGCTTCGGGACGACTCGCGCTTTTATTAAAAGGCCGCCTGGGTGGGCGGATGCGGAGGGAAGAAAGGTAAAACGGCGTTTACCGGTCTTTCAGATATTCAACTCGAACGGCAAGTTCCTGCACGAGTTCGGCAGTTACGGCAGTGGGGAAGGGGAGTTCGACTGTCTGGCGGCGGTGACCGTGGCCAAGAACGGACACTACGTCGTCTCCGACAGGTACAACCACCGCCTGCAGGTCTTCGACCCCACCGGTAGATTCGTCAACAGCTTCGGCGGCGAGGGAAGGGCCGACGGCAAGTTCAACTATCCCTGGGGCCTGGCCGCCGACGCTCTGGGCTTCGTCTACGTCTGCGACAAGGAGAACCACCGCATTCAGGTGGGTGGCCCCGCTCGCTCTTGACCTTTAACCTTCGCAACTTCCACCGGATGGCTGCTAAATCTGCAAATCCCCTCCTTTCTTACTAAATAAATAATTCCACTTTTAAACGGTTTAACCTAATAATAAAACCCATTTAATTAAACGTAATTAAATTAACTAATTTGGCACCGTTGTAAAGCTTTAAACGCCGTTAAAGTTAACCCGCCTGGCATTACCGTTCTTAATCGCACCCCTCGAAATTTGACCGCGGGTTGAATTTTATTTTATTTTCGTCGGGTCGATGGAAATTTACAACATTATCGGTGCGCTTTTTCTTAATTAAATTCCCGAATACTTGTATTTAATCGGCCAAAATGATAAACCTGCGCCGGTTACTAATTTGCTATGTTACTTGATTCGTACGGACGGAGTGGTAGAAACCAAGTTTTAACGATTTTTTAAAAATGTCGGCAGGTTTTCCAGTTGGACGGTACTTACGTTAGTAAATTCGGAAGTGCAGGCAGCCGGCCGGGAGAACTGGAGCACCCCCATTACATAGCGGTCAGCAACACCAACAGGGTGATCGTCAGCGACAGCAACAACCACAGGATCCAGATCTACGACGTCAACGGGCGACTGCTGTCCACTCTGGGCTCCGAGGGAACCGAAGAGGGACACTTCAAGTTTCCCAGGGGAGTGGCCGTCGACGAACGGGGCTACGTGGTGGTGGGCGACAGCGGAAACAACCGCATTCAGGTCTTCCAACCCGACGGCACCTTCCTCAAAGCCTTCGGCAGTTGGGGCTCGGGAGACGGAGAATTCAAGGGCCTGGAAGGCATCGCCGTTAATTCCACCGGCGGCATTCTTGTCTGCGACCGCGAAAATCACAGAATTCAAGTCTTTTGAACCGGTGAGTGCGCCTCCTGTTTCCTCCGTAATTTCTGCATTCCGATCGCCGTAAATAAACGGAGTCGGGCTCGACTGGACCAAAGTTTTGGCCACTGCCAATTAATAAGACGGTACGAGATTAAATACCTAAATTAAAACCCGGTCTGGCCTCTTTGTTTACCAGTTTATACGTTTTAGTAACGCCGATTTAAAGTTGCCGTAAAACATTTTCCTCTGGCAAAAATAACAATCTTAAAGCTTTTTACGACTATTTAATGTGACTTTTATACATTTTAACCGGTTAATTTTTTTTAAATTGCAGGTGTTTACAAGTAGCAAACACTTTTTACGCCGGGACGGAAGAAAAATCCAAAAAATATATATATTCTAGTGAATTTAATACTATTTAAAAAGACTAACAATTTTTGTGTAAAGTTATTTACTTTGGAATATTCTGTAGAAAATAAAAAAGATAATAAAGAAATCGTTTAACATTTTTTTAATTTGGTTAAAAGCCTTATTTTTATTTTAATATATTAAAAAAATACACGTTTCCTCTTTAAAAATTTGAAATTTTCCGGCCTCCGAATTATTAATTTAACGCAATTTTTTCCAGAGGGAAGTTCCATAAATTAAGCAAGGAAATTTCTTAATTTTTATTCAAAAATTACGCATCGAAATAACGTAACCGATTTCGATTTAAATTAAATAAATGGAATTTTATTAAGTTTACTAATCATAGTTTATTATTTACCCAGGAATAACCACGTGGTTTTGACCGGAAGTGTGGCGTAGACCACGCGCCGTTCGGCGGGACTCGACTGGTTCTGTAAAATGAAACCCGTCCTTGCCCAGTAAATTTACGTATTAAAAAGATGGAAATCGTCGAAAATCGATATTTTCCTCGTCCCGTAATATTTAAAATTTAGCAGCATTTAACTTCGTTTCGTCTGGTAAATATGTAATTCTATTAAATAAATTACGTACAAAAAAAAATCGATTTTTAATTCAAACGACGATCTTTAAAGTCTTAAAAATAGTTTTTACGGAATAAAAAACCAAATCGGAAAATAGCAGAATTTTTTCCATTACCTTGACACATATGAAGTTATTTATACACGCCGGACGTCATCGTCTTCCAGTAGATTTACGTATAATTTATTAATATAAAAGATTCCTCACGCGCGTAATTAATTTAAATTACTCATTAAAAATGAAACGTTTACTTGATGTAAAAGAGTTTCGAAAAAGTTAATTGATAATTGGATGCGCGTGGCACGAGTTTTTGTTTCCTACACTAATTTTGGAAAGAAGTTCCGGTGACCCAATTCGTCCATCTTAGCAAAATCCCTCAACTGCGTAAAAAGGACCTTTTTTTTTTTTTTTTTACTGAGAGAACGGCCCGAGACGAACCAAGTCGTAAAGAAAGAATAGTAATCTGCGGCCATTTTGTGGCCTTTGGTCCGAACCCAGGCATTGTTCTTCAAACGGGTAAACTTCTCGCGCGGCCTTTACAATAACATTGTGTTTGGCATAAATCTCGTAAATCTAAACTTAACTCGGTTTTAAAATATCCGACTTTTTTGGCGTTTGCGTAGTCCAAATCGGCGCCCAAACATTCACGATTCGTCACTTCAAAACGGAAAATAACAATAAACCGGGAGGTTTATAAAATTTCTCTTTAAAACTCCCAGGATCGAATTAAAAAGTAATACAAATACAAGATACCAACCGCTATCCACGCGCGTGCTCCCACCATCGGGTTGGAACCGAAAACGGAGAAGACTTCGTCCCTTCACCTCGATTATTAGCAATTGCAAAATGTGAAAAAGACGGGCCCCGATGGTGAGTGACGCAGTTTCTTCGCGATTTTCCACAAAAGAAAAAATATTCAGGGGAGATCCGACGTCCCGCGCCTGGCCCGTGTTAACCATGACAATTGGTGGTCGAAAACCTCGTTCTTCCATACCGTTTCTTAGCGCTAATGCTTATTTTCGGCCGTCCGGAACTATTAATAAGGTTGCTTCTCGTTAAGTGAAATAATGTACGCCTTACTCCACATTTATATTCTGTATTAAGATGATTTCTACTTTATATTTTTAAGATTTTATATAAATAAATTGACCGGAAAATCTACTATCCGTAAATTAATTACATTTTCAATTACCAGTAGATCATTCTTCGCCTCCAGAATATTTATCAATTAATTTGTCTACTCGGTATTTTTTTTTTTTTCTAAAATTCTCTGGACTTTATTTTATATAGGATATAATTTTTAAAATCTATTACTTTAGTTTTTCCCTCCGTTTCTATCGTTGGATGTACAGTACTGTACCTAATCGATTTCAATTTACAGGTATTCTTGAATTGTCTGTTTTTCTAGAAGTTTCTTTATTTGTTACGTCTACGTCTTTCTTGCCTTTTATTGGATAATGTAAGTTTTATGTTTTATCTTTTTTCTTGGTATTATTTTACTTCTGTTGCTGTTTACCTGTTTTTGTAAAGTTGTGTTTTCCCCGTAGTATTGTTCATTACGTCGATTTTCTTTATTGTATTTTTTCGTCGAAACTTGTGTATCTTCCCTCTAGCATTGTTTTCTTCTGTATCGCCTTACGGTTTTCTTTTTCTATCGATTTGTAACTCGTTCGTCTCTTTGTTAAGCAATAATTTATAACGTCTGCTACTTAATAAATTTTACATCGTTTCTCTTTGGTTCTGGTAAGTTACGTCGACACTGTCTTTATCTTACAAAGAAAAAAGTAGCCTACTTCCTATTTGCGGGTGGCGAAAAATACGATTCTTAAAATATTTTTCGAGTAATTCGAGAATTGTATTTTTGAAAATGTCCTAAAAATACATTTTCCTCCATCGTTCTAGAAAAATATCGATTTCTTAATTGATTTTTTCTTCTGTCTTTTCTAGTAGTGCACACGACTCGTTTTTCTTCTTCGGAATAGTGTAAGTCGGTTTTTAGCTTAAACAATGGCTCGGAGAACAAAGAAGTCGGCCATTATAAGCTAAGTAACAGTTACATATACAGATTTAGCTTGGAATAAACGGATAACAATCGACGTAGCGTTAACCTTGAGTAGTTAGTTACAAGTATCGTAAGAAGGTCTTTGCTATTTTTAATTAATGTAAAGTCGCTGCTAGATATACAGACGGACTTCACCAGACAGATTAATTTCAAATTTAATTTAACGCGTAAAAAACGGTGTTTCGACTATTGTTAGTTAAACTATAATTAGCAGCCAATAAATCGGTTGGAGGAGAACTTGTGTAATTATCATTAATTCGTAAAGAGAAAGAGGAACTCCAACAATGAATCTAGGACGTTGGCAATAAAGGAAGCGATTTTGTTATTCCTCAATCAATACCTCATTCGTTCGATTGATGAAAAGCCAGTCATTACATTCGTCATTAATGTCCAGCCCGTGATATAACGTTAACCGTGCATTAAAGTTAATCTATTTTATGGAATTTAGGTAACTTCCCGAATATTATTAAATATTTTTAAAGCCTTCGTTTATCGCCAATATCTTTAATTATTTATAAAAGTCTATTTATTGACGTACAAAATGATTTTTAATGAACTTATGCCAGTACCACTCGCATAATTCGAATATAAAAAGTAGTGTAACGTTTTTCTCGCTTCGTCACATAGATGGCGCTAATCATAATAGGAAAGTATTTTGAAATGCGGTCGTTAAATTAATTTAATACAAAATACTTAGTAGTTTATATTTCACCGGGGGTTTGTAGTGCGTAACAGAATAATAGTAGAAAGGCACCTTTTGCCAAATACTTTTTAGATCGATTTCTCCAACCGCGGCGTGTGTCCCGGGCGCCAAATGAACCCTTAGAATCTTTTTTGTAATTAACATTGAATGGGGGGCGAGGTTTGGTGGGGCCTCTGTCCTCCAATCCGCGTATCCGGGACACCGCACTACCAATTCAGGTAATGTATAGTAAGGGTGTTTACGGAGCTAAGCCTCCCAAAGTGCCCCAGGAGAGAGCTGGAAAATTGGCCCAACTGTACGCCTTGGGTATAGTATATTACTTGCAGTTTTCGTACTTTAACATAGAAACCGGACCGAAGCACTTTCTGTTTAAATAAAATTTACTTTCGTTTCCAGCATAAATTTGAAAGATTTTGCAACTTGCAAGGAAATTAAAACGAAAGTAACTTAGCTTTCTACATTTCAAAGGGCCGAATACAGCCTACGTTTCGAGTTCACCTTCCACCCATAACACATTCCTATCAGTATGATAATTTGACGTCGACTGTATTCGCGGAGCGAAACTATAACTTCATACTAACGACACATCACCGTTCTACTACCGATCATTCGAGAATTAGTTTTCCCATCGTCGAACTTCTTGGGTATGTTGCTCGTCGTATACAGGACCCGGTATACAGTCAAATAGAAAGGCTGTGAATGAGCGTAAGCAACAAGTAGCTAATCTTAAGTTAGGACGGTGCTTTCGTATAAAATGGATTTGTTTAGCATAATCGTGTCATTGATTAGAGCTTACTTAGCTCCTTACACTCACCCGCACATTTCTACGATAGGTATGGCGAGTTTTTCTGGTACTTAATAATGTATTTAAAGTTAAAACGTTAGGCGTGCGAGACGGTCACACATCCTTCTCCTAAAGCAAGCCATTTAGTGTGCAAGTTTAAAAAAAAATAGATTAAAAACTTCTAGTCTAGCTCAAAATGAATGATAGAATTGGAATTAAAGATGTACTGTACAGTAGGCTGCTTCACTAGAAACAATAGTAAAAATGTGTGCAGCATACTAATGAAATGAAATAAAGAAGATAGAAAACATAATAAATAATTAAAGCGTTGCAACGAGCAAGGAGGAAAAATTAATTAATATATATAGCCTATAAATACATAATAATAATATATATAAATATAACGAAGAATATTGTAATATATATAATGGCATATATAAAAGATTTCTATTTTTTATATATACGCAGTAGTTCTCTATTAATTGTAATGGAGTTATTTATTAAATTCAGCGCGTTATAAATTACTTATAATCACTAATCATTAAACTAATTGTGTCAATAATTTAAAAAATATTAGTAAATCACACACGACAATATAAAAATAAAACATCCTTTTTCGGTATAATAAATATCAAATATAAACATTGTGAATACTTGTAATAGGTGGGAGGAAAAACAATAAAAATAGAATTATAATGCAAATAATAAACACTGAATGCTAAGCAATAAATATACAGTATAACAATAAGCTATCACAGGACTCAGCAATAGTCTCACAGGACTATTACAGGACTACAGCAGTCGAGGTAATCAACAATAGTTAATAACGACTAACTTTTTGTTCAGAAGTGAGGATTAGGCGGCACAAAATGTGATGTAATGTACAGTACAGTACGTCAGTCTAGACTTGATAAAACATTCCGTAATCTTGGCTTTATGAGAGATTAATGAAAGTGGCCGAATCACCGACAAGAAGTGTAACTGTTCGTTTATGCATTCTTAAAAATATATATTACATTACCACAAATGAAATGACTTTTGATGCACCCGATGTATGCCATTAAACATATAAATAAAGATTTTAATAAACAATAGAACAACATAAGACTTGTTTTTAGTGAACAAATCTTTATTTTTCTGAATAATTATCTGAAAATTTGAAAGAAATTTTATTAATAACATACACAAAAAGAGCACCGTTATGCAATCGACAATTAACAAAGAAATGCATAATTGAAAATGTTATTAAAAATTATAAAAAGAAATGATCAAAAGAGAAACAATCGTTAACAATTGTTATTCTTCTTCCGATTAACAGTACAATTACTATAATAATAATAATAATTATTTTTTTCGAACATTTAAAGATTATGTCGTTATTGGTACAAGTACAAAATACATAAAAATTTAATAATTGAAATATTTTGTTTAAAAATATATAATGATTAAAACATTTAACACACTATCTCTTCCATGGAAGTTTGTAAAAAATCTGAATATTGTTTATGTATTGTTTTATTCCTCCATATTTTTTTATAAACATAAAGAAATAAGATCGATATTTATGATTGCCTTTTATATTTTCTTTTTTGGTTATTTAATCACGTGTTAATGAATGTTACTTATTGTTTTCTGCACACACAAACTCTTAACCACTCAGATCTCTCCTTTAAATCCCATTTATTGGATGAAAAAGTGTCGAATTTGTGTCTAGAACCGTATCGGTTCTTGGCCATTAACGTGGCTGGCAACCTCCAAGAGTACCAACGGGCTTCGATGGCGCCCTGTATTTTTAATTTTCAGATAGAAGATGCATTTATATGATAAAAATAGGAATGGAATTTACCGAAACAAACTTGATTATGTTTATGGATCTTAAAGGATATTGACATACGTATGGAATGAATGAACCTCGACCCCTAATCGATTAGCCCCCGGATGTAAGGTCATTTAGGCCCTATATTAGTTCGATCTTACCGTAATCGGACGGGTCAAAAAGAATGGCGACTGACAATTTGTGGTCGGTCAGAAGCGTGAATAATCAACTAAATAAAAACGGGAGGAGGCTGCCCGTTATCTCCCCAAATCGCATTTAACCGGTTGAAAAATAAAAAGAAAAAAACTCCTCGATGAATTATTATTATCTTTTTATATTAAATATCTTGATAAAATTTAAGAATTTCGCTAATTTTATTTTATATTTCCCTTCTTTACTTATATTAGCACCATAATAACTAACTCTATTACGTTAGTTTTTTTTTTATCCACGAAATAAAATCAAACATCTATATTTTTTATATATTTAATTATCGACATTTATAAATTGATAAATAATTTAATAGGCGATTTAACGATTATTTAAGAGCACCAATAATCAGAAATATTTGAAAATTCTTAAATGGCGGCAGTTAAAGAAGAAACGTCCAATCCATTCAACTAATAAAATGCATTTTATACATTACTAATTCAACAAATTGCGATTAAATAACATGGCAGACGATGGTACATATAATGTAAAAAAACAAGTCTCACGTTAAACGCATAAATATTAATAAATAAAATTTCAAAATATAATAAATATTACAAAAATAAATCAGTCTGGAAAACAGATATTAAAATCTAATAAAAATCGATGGAAAACGTTCAAAAAAATATGAAATTCTTCAATTATTTAACTAAGAAATTGTTGAAAAAATGCAATAAATTGAATTCTTTCTATAAATAGAATTTTATTTGCTGGATTTTACTACTTAATGAAAGATTTTAACATAATTCATTTACTCTAATATATAATTTAGAAACTATTAAGCTTAACTACACGCAAATTTTAATGAAGAATCTTATTATATAGGCTATGTATTTTTCATAAGTTTTTTTTTATTATTGTCGTTTTAACAATATTTTTCCAATTTGTAAATGAACGATTCTATGCTACTAAACTCTTCTGCATAAAAAACTCTTTGTTTTTCTTAAATATTTATATTTGTGAGCAAGAGCTAATATAATGAATCTCTCACCAATATCGTCTTTCCAGTTACCACTTAAAATTACATAATATACTAGATGCTAAGCAATAAATATACAGTATAACAATAAGCTCTCACAGGACTCAGCAATAGTCTCACAGGACTATTACAGAAATACGGTTCAGATAAATTACAGTTTAGATTTGTCTCTGCCTGGGTTTAAGCTACAGCAGTTGAGGTAATCAACAATAGTTAATAACGACTAACTTTTTGTTCAGAAGTGAGGATTAGGCGGCACAAAATGTGATGTAATGTACAGTACAGTACGTCAGTCTAGACTTGATAAAACATTCCGTAATCTTGGCTTTATGAGAGATTAATGAAAGTGGCCGAATCACCGACAAGAAGTGTAACTGTTCGTTTATGCATTCTTAAAAATATATATTACATTACCACAAATGAAATGACTTTTGATGCACCCGATGTATGCCATTAAACATATAAATAAAGATTTTAATAAACAATAGAACAACATAAGACTTGTTTTTAGTGAACAAATCTTTATTTTTCTGAATAATTATCTGAAAATTTGAAAGAAATTTTATTAATAACATACACAAAAAGAGCACCGTTATGCAATCGACAATTAACAAAGAAATGCATAATTGAAAATGTTATTAAAAATTATAAAAAGAAATGATCAAAAGAGAAACAATCGTTAACAATTGTTATTCTTCTTCCGATTAACAGTACAATTACTATAATAATAATAATAATTATTTTTTTCGAACATTTAAAGATTATGTCGTTATTGGTACAAGTACAAAATACATAAAAATTTAATAATTGAAATATTTTGTTTAAAAATATATAATGATTAAAACATTTAACACACTATCTCTTCCATGGAAGTTTGTAAAAAATCTGAATATTGTTTATGTATTGTTTTATTCCTCCATATTTTTTTATAAACATAAAGAAATAAGATCGATATTTATGATTGCCTTTTATATTTTCTTTTTTGGTTATTTAATCACGTGTTAATGAATGTTACTTATTGTTTTCTGCACACACAAACTCTTAACCACTCAGATCTCTCCTTTAAATCCCATTTATTGGATGAAAAAGTGTCGAATTTGTGTCTAGAACCGTATCGGTTCTTGGCCATTAACGTGGCTGGCAACCTCCAAGAGTACCAACGGGCTTCGATGGCGCCCTGTATTTTTAATTTTCAGATAGAAGATGCATTTATATGATAAAAATAGGAATGGAATTTACCGAAACAAACTTGATTATGTTTATGGATCTTAAAGGATATTGACATACGTATGGAATGAATGAACCTCGACCCCTAATCGATTAGCCCCCGGATGTAAGGTCATTTAGGCCCTATATTAGTTCGATCTTACCGTAATCGGACGGGTCAAAAAGAATGGCGACTGACAATTTGTGGTCGGTCAGAAGCGTGAATAATCAACTAAATAAAAACGGGAGGAGGCTGCCCGTTATCTCCCCAAATCGCATTTAACCGGTTGAAAAATAAAAAGAAAAAAACTCCTCGATGAATTATTATTATCTTTTTATATTAAATATCTTGATAAAATTTAAGAATTTCGCTAATTTTATTTTATATTTCCCTTCTTTACTTATATTAGCACCATAATAACTAACTCTATTACGTTAGTTTTTTTTTTTATCCACGAAATAAAATCAAACATCTATATTTTTTATATATTTAATTATCGACATTTATAAATTGATAAATAATTTAATAGGCGATTTAACGATTATTTAAGAGCACCAATAATCAGAAATATTTGAAAATTCTTAAATGGCGGCAGTTAAAGAAGAAACGTCCAATCCATTCAACTAATAAAATGCATTTTATACATTACTAATTCAACAAATTGCGATTAAATAACATGGCAGACGATGGTACATATAATGTAAAAAAACAAGTCTCACGTTAAACGCATAAATATTAATAAATAAAATTTCAAAATATAATAAATATTACAAAAATAAATCAGTCTGGAAAACAGATATTAAAATCTAATAAAAATCGATGGAAAACGTTCAAAAAAATATGAAATTCTTCAATTATTTAACTAAGAAATTGTTGAAAAAATGCAATAAATTGAATTCTTTCTATAAATAGAATTTTATTTGCTGGATTTTACTACTTAATGAAAGATTTTAACATAATTCATTTACTCTAATATATAATTTAGAAACTATTAAGCTTAACTACACGCAAATTTTAATGAAGAATCTTATTATATAGGCTATGTATTTTTCATAAGTTTTTTTTTATTATTGTCGTTTTAACAATATTTTTCCAATTTGTAAATGAACGATTCTATGCTACTAAACTCTTCTGCATAAAAAACTCTTTGTTTTTCTTAAATATTTATATTTGTGAGCAAGAGCTAATATAATGAATCTCTCACCAATATCGTCTTTCCAGTTACCACTTAAAATTACATAATATACTAGCAATAAATCATACAGTATATTATGCATATATATATATATTTATATCTATACGTCCAATATATATATGCACACATACATTCCATTTTTGAAATGAATATACTGCCCTGTACATATACTTGTTAAACTATGGGGGAAATAATATATATGCTGTATGTCCAGTTCATGAGGAGATGGTTCAAAAAAGAAGTTTTATTCTCCAAAATTTTAATGAAAAATTTCTGTTTTTTCCCCCTTTATATATATATAATAGAGAAAGTAAAGTCTTTGCTCATCTCTATTTTTAAAGTAAATATTTTCTAAAAATGAATTACTTTCAAAAGTTGATTTTTTAAAGAATTTGGCATAAAATTACATTATTCCATATTTAACTTGATATAAATGGTAGTTATAGATTCATTCCAAATACAGCTTATTTATTCAAGTATAAATTATGTATAACTTATTGCAATTAAAATTTCTTATAGAGTATAAATTATATCTACTTAGTTTCTTTTATCTACTCTGTAATTAATAAATTATTTGGCAGTTAAGCTCATTCCAGAAAAACTCTCTTAATTCCTATTGATATTTTCATTAATTTAGTTCTTGTTCACAACGAATATTACTCGTATTAACTTATATTTAAATAGGTTTCATTTGCTTTTTGGTTAAAATTTCCTACAGTCTAATTTAGCATATGATATTTATTTTACACTGGAAATTATAACTTACCTATGATTTTCGTGTGTTTGTATATGTATATATTTATATATATATATATATGTGTATATATATATATTAATTTGTTTTAAAATAAATACAGCTGAGCAATTTAAACGGATGTGGAATAGCAAGTTTTTAATTCGGTGAATACATCTGTGAAAAAACTAGGTTCACTGTTGATTTGTAACATTTTACCGCTTAACAGATTGATGACCAGTAAACACCTGTCCCAGAAGTTCTCTTTGCAATCTTCGACAAGAAATGGCTTGAGGGGATAGGATATTTCGTTACCCATATAAGAGTAAGAAAGATATAGACAGGTGAGGACAACAGCTTGAAGATCGTGTTCACTATCGATATCTTCACTAACCAAATCCCTTACCAACATGTACAAAAACACAATATTTGCCGGATTTATGAAAGCGATGTCTTGCCATCCCTGTACCAGTAAGGTTCTATCAACAGTCCTAAGCCAAAGAACTGCATCTCCGGGTTGAAAATCTTTTAGTTTTCTACACCTGTGGCAAAGAAATTCTCCGAAGCACCTCAATAATTCCGAAGTGGATGCTTGAATGACAGTCTTTTTGTGAGGACTTATACAAGGAGGTGTTTTAGTCTTTTTAGTTACGGTTGCCAAACCCAGAGGTCTTATCAGGTTTTGCGACGATAGAAGAGCAGGTTTTGGCGGTAAAGACGGAGGCGGTTTCTGTAAAAATTTATCACTTACTCCACTAGTTTTAACCATTAAATCGAGAGGACTGATTGCACTCGCTCTCAAACTATAACAAGATAGCGATTTCTGTATGTTCTTATTATTATCCATAACAGGGTGGACACTATCCAAGGGTTGTCTGGACATCCAGTTTCTGTTACGTTCGCTTTTCTTCTTACCAGAAACGGCGAAAGGTTTCCAACTGAGAGCATTGATAAATAAAGAATGTTTCTTAAAATTCTGCAGACTACTTGGTTCTATACATTTCTCCCTATTTCTGACATTATTTAACTGCTCGTAATGAAAATTATTTAAATTATATTCACCATAAATTGGCTTCCTGTCTCTGGGTGAGAAACTTAAAACGGTTCCCATATTTTCCGAACTGTTGGACCGAGGTCACAAATGCAAAAATATACCTTTCGACGACATAGTTGGTATTTTCAATGGCTGACACCTTCTAGTATAGCAGCAATCGAAGGATTTTCTGAATTTGATGTTGCTATGACTACGGCACTTGCGCACTTGCTCATTGCGGCAACATATTGATTGAATAATTGTTTTTTTCCTTTGGTATTTCAACCCCTACATACGTATCCCCGGTTGGCTTAACAAAACCCGGTTTGAAAAAACATTTTTACATATTACACTTTGAATTATACATATAATCATTTCATTGATTTCTATCTGGAAAACACCATATACAACCGACATGCTTCATTCATGAAAGCATCCATATTGGATTAGCTACTGTTGACATATCTCTGTATCAGTTGCATCAACCGAAAATTTCAATTTATCCAATCTAAAATTCATCGATACGTTTTTATAAAGCTATTTTACCTTCCATTAAGGCTGTTGTTTAGAAGCAACTCAATTTTTATTTATTCATTCAAGTATTTTATTTACTAAAATAACCAAAATAAAAATGATATAAAAGCATTTTTATATATTATCTTTCATCGCTTTTTTAATTATCAAAAAATATAATTATTTAACAAAAATTCTTGTTTTGATAGGACGACGACCTTTAAGAATGCAGCCGTTCATTTATTATTATTAGGGATTTTTATATTCTGGAATTTAAATATGTGCGTTTGTACTCACGATGATATTTTTAATTTAATGCAAGGAATTAATACGAAGGTATCAAATCTTTGATTAATGAATTCCGAAGATTTTAATGTATAAAGTCGATAAAACTATTTTAACTAGTTAATTGATAAAGTTTACTGATTATTCTTTGCCCGTTTTAACACCATTTATCATCGATCTCGATAAAAATCAATATATTTTTTATATAGTAAAGATTGATTTTTATTATACCATACTTTCAAAAACTTAAAAAGATAAATTTTGCAGATAAAAATTGCATAATTACGTGTAAATTTAGGGAATTCCAATGACTCATCTTTTCCAATTTTCAAGAAGAAAGGTGTGAGTGAATACAAATCGATGTATTTTTACGTTTCTGACGTTGTATTTTGGTTTTTTGGAAGCAACCCGATCTATGTTGTCTGTTGGCAACATATTATACTAACTTTTCCAGTGTTGTTTTAAATATTAAGTTCCTTTGTATTTGAGATTAAGTTAAACAATAAATTTATACAGGCTACTTTTCTACCTTTTTAATAATTAAAAACTTTCTTACACGAACAATATATCAAACAAACAAATTAGTTCAATTAGTACTGCCGGTAAGGAGAACCATCGATTTTTCTAATAAAATGCTTATTTGGCACATGATAAAATTACATTAAAAGTTGTTTAAATGACAATACTTCGAGAATATCTGATTTGTTATGAAAATTTTCCAGGGAATTGCAAATTATTTGAGATTAAATTAAAACTGTCGTTAAGTCGCCGATTATCATTGAATCTGCTTATTATTTTTCTTACATAGTTTTAGGTTTTCGTGAATTTCACAATGTGTTCCAGTCTTACGAGGAATAGTTTTCCACAGACATGTTTAATCAATTTTAAAAAAGAAATTGTTAATATGAAACTCTAAGTAGGACCTATTTTTAAATTTAAATTCATCGTACGACATTCTTAATTAGTTTGAATTATTAACAACTTTTTGTAACGTAATTAAACTAATTATAGAACTTGATAAGAAAGTCCAGTAAGCCATACATTTATTTACGATAAAATCTTCTATAACTTGGACATTAATGGTTACAAATAAGAGGTGTTTTAAATAGAAGAGTAGTTGTTATACTCACCGGCTTTATTAAAATCAGAGGTATTTCCAACTTGAAAGATTTTATTGTACATTAGAAACGAGCAATTATTTATTATGACATGGTCACAATGCTATTTTTTAATCATATTTTTAATTTATTTAATTTAAAATATATTCTCTCCACCTCAAATTAGTAGTGGCTTGCCCAAGTACAGTACATCATACTTTTCCATTAACAATGGAGTCGTGTCGGTCTCTATCTAACATCTTTCGAGGGAAAATTTTTTAATTGAAATAACGCAATTTCCGGTTTGTATCGGTAGTTGGTTTATAATTAACCGGGGTCTTCTGCCCCTATGCCTTCCATAACTGGTCTCGTATTTCATATACAAAATTAAACTGCACATTCATAAAATTATTTAAACTTATATATTTAGGATTATTCAGTTAATTCCATTGAAATATATTAAACATTTCTTGTCATATTTTTTTATATAGAGCAAGTATGTGGAGTTTATAAAGAGCAATGACTGTAAACTTATAAAATCTTAATATATAAATCACGCAGTTACCTAAAAAAGTCAGCGGTTGTAAATGGGACGACACCCAACAATTGTTGAGTGATAAAAAAAATGCGCTAAAAATGACATTATCCGTACTAATCGTAATATAGATTTAATAAATAAGGTTATATAATTTCAGATAAAATATATTCGGGAACAATAATCTTATTATTATTCATGTTGCGTACACGCATTATTACAAATACACTCGTAGTTCAACCGTGGTACATTTAAGAATTGTGTAATGTTCTATTTTCGTAGCAACAAGGAAGTTATTTTTGATTGACGAATTTAGAACTTCTGGCTAGATTTTTCTGTTTTATAATAATTATTATATTTGATAATTAATTTAGCAGAAAATATATTTATAATTTTATTTATTAATATAATGTACTGTACTTCCAAGCTTGGATTTCGGTGCAGAAAATTGCTTTATTAGAGTAAAATGTTCAAAATTCAAACGTTTTAGAGGCTTTCCGACTCAATCTTTAAGTACTTGATAAAGATCAAAGATTTCAATTGAGAAAAAAAAATTGTCAGCTTATGGAAGTACTGCATTCGGTCTTATGAAGGCGTATATAGGGTGTTTCAATGCTGGCGTTTAGTAGTTTTTTCCCCCTCCGAAACCGTTGGAGGTAGAAAGACGGGATTAATTAATTAATAACCAAGTTAATAGGGCAGACTGGGGCAATTTTTGATGCCCTTGATAATGACGGTTTTTGAGAGACAGAACAAAATAGGAGGTTTTTAATTATAAAGGGCGCTGTTCAGCCATTATATAGAGTGTACGCGACATAATAAACACCTTTTGTAATAGGTGACATTTTATTAAACCCATCGGTTTTCAAGATATCGGCAAGTTTCTGCTAGACATTTGCTTTCTTTTTCCCGAAAATTCCAATGCCGGGAACTAAGTTTATCATTTTTCTTTCTTTATCTTATCGGATAGTTGAAAAAGCAGGCTTTGAATAAATTGAATTGTTACTGTTTGAAGAGCAAGGAATGTCATTTTTGGAGTGATCTTTTTCATTTCTGTGTATTTACTTGTTTCCTCTATTTTTACGAAAACAGTTTATTCAAATGAAGAAACATTTGATATAGGCTATGGATGGCTTTAGGTGCATGCCACCAAAATTATTCACAAGTTGCAGTCTTTATGGGGACGAATTAAGGAAATGGTTTACTTTCGGCGTCCTTCTACTAAAAACAAGAAATTCAGAATATCGGGAAGTTTTCGTAAGATTAATTAACACATGCGAATTACGAGATGTATTAACCACTTCTGACATACAATAATTAACGATTGCTACAGAACGTTGTTCCAAAGTATTCCCTTTTCCTAATTTGGAAATAACTCGAAGTTACGAACTAAATCTTAACCATTATTATATTTATATATATTTTATCAATATTTACAAAAAAAGAAAGAAAAATTATCCGCCAAATCGCATGCTTGTTAAGAGTAAAAACTTTCTAAGTTTCTGACGCCCACTTGACTATCCGCCATTGTGAATTGCTCAGTTGTTGTGTTTTTTGTCATGTACAGTACCCAACCCCCTTAATTTGTCATACACAATCCATATAATGATTCAAAAGCACCCTTATAATTAAGTCTTAACCATACAAAACAAAATAGGTTTTTTTTTTTTTTTAAATCTCAACGTCCCAGTCTTCACAATAAACTTGTTAATTAGTCCCATCTTCCTACCTACACCGGTTTCAAGTCAGAAACCGCCCGAAGTCAGAAAGATTCGAACCGCCCGAGTTTTAAATATTTAAGAGTTTACCACATTAACCATAATTTGCTTATAAGCATTTTATTAAAACCAACAGATAGATCTACAGTTTAGTTTAATTTAATCATTTCCTTTACCTAACCAAGATAGTACGTACTATTATGTTGACTGAGAGCCCATATAATACAGGCTAATCGAATTTTTGTTCATTAATTCTAACAAATTCCGACTTATACATTTATATAAAATTAAGCTTTATTAAAAGAGAAACAACATTTTCTTACATATTAAATAATAATGAGTAAATGTGTAAAATAAGAACGTATGTTCTTTATGTTAATTTATTATATTTAATTTGGAAGATAATACCATAATTATATTTTTAAAAATTACAGCAAGTAAGAAAATGTACGTATAAAATCACAAAAAACTTATAAATTTAATGACTTTATTGAAGAATTGACATTACAGGATACAGATTTGCATTTTAGTTGATTTCATTAATGAAATTTTACCAAATAAAATTATTTTGTATCGCTATCGATTAAACTTTTATTAAAAAATAAACCGTAATTCAGGAGAAATAAACCTATTAATCATCTGGTAGAAATGGGTTGACAGCTCATTGAATTAGTTCCAAAATGCAGTAACTTTCTAAATTTCAATAAATCATATAGGTGTTTTAATCAAAATAGGATTTTTATTTAATTTTCATTTGATCATTTATCTCACGTCCCATCCATGTTAAACTAGCAAACGTAAGGCTTTTAAGTTTTCAAGACCGACTTTTTTTTTTCTTGGTTGTATTCAACTAACTAACAGAAACGTTATTCAACTACAAATAAACGACCCATTCATTTTAGGTATGAGATCTTAACACAGAAGCTTACAAGGATAGCACATTTCTCTGTTCGTTTTTTTCCCTCCCTCCTATAGTGTTTGATTAATTTTGAATAGAAAACTGAATTAATGCCAACTTATGTAATGTCGAAAGATGGCCAAAGTCTTTTAAAAGATTTCAATTGGAAAAAATTTTGTCAGCTTATGGAAGTATTTGGTATTCTGAAAGTGTATATATATATAACTCAATCTGTTAAAAATATCGTTATGAATAAATATGAAAAGAACGTGAATGAATTTATATCTTTAACATGAAGAAACCAAGGTGAAAAGCCAAATAATATGATAATTTATATAAGAATATAAAAATTTTATTTATACATATATCGAAAATTTACATTTTTTTAAAAAATATTTTTAAAGAATAATATCTTCAACTTTAATCATTTTATTAAAAAAATTAACAGTTTCCAAATATAAACTATTTTATAGGACATTTATATATATATTGAAATTAACAAAAATATTTAGTATATAAAATTTATTAATTAAAGTGTTTTACTTATACTTTTGATCTTGTCAACCATGGGAATTGCTGAAAGGAAATTTTAAGTATTTAAAATCAGAAAAGGTATTAACTTTTTATTAGCTAAATTAAGAAAATTACTTGTGGTTTTCTCTGTGATACTGGATCAATTGCTACATTAATAATACATGGTTGGTCTATAGTTTTGAGACTTTCTTCTAATGCTTCTTTCAATTCTTTTGGAGTACTGGCATAGAACCCTTTACCTCCAAACATCATGGCAATATTTTCATATCGTGCGGAAGGAAGGAGTGAATTCGGTGGAATGCTACAGATATTTTAATAATTTCAATATTTGAAAGAGAAGAAAATCTGATTTGATATTTACCTGAGTCCAACATTCACTTTCTCTTCTTCCAACATTTTCCAAGATTCCAAATCAAGTCCACTGTAAATTCCATTGTTGTTTATAATGATGACAATAACTGGAAGTTTAAATCTAGATAAAAAAAACTTTTTAATTTGAATTTTAGATCAATACCAAATTTATTATAAATTTTAAAATGTATAGCCTGACATTTTTAAATGATTAATGATCAGATAGTGAAATAAAATGCCCAAGACAAATTTTATTTATTGCTTTGAATGAAATATTAGTTATAAAGTTCCAATAAGTTAAAAATAAATATTTTTAAAAGTTTTTTCAATCCATCACAGTAGTTTTATGATACTTATAAAAAAAAACACCATCTAAATTCTACTTGTCCTCATGCATTCCTTACACTAAAAATTTTACATTAATAGTTTAAAACCATAAATTCATTTTAAAAATTTACAATTAAAAATTCTCAAAAAATGAAAGTACAGTAGAGAATCGATTATTCGAATACCAATCAACTGAAACATCAGTTAACTGAAAGCATTCAGTCGGCAAATTCAAATTTCTGTTAGGGCTGTGGCATTGCAGCACTCTTTCTCTTCCTGCCAAACTGAACTGTAGGCCTAGTTTAATGTACTACATTATGTAAGGTATGTATTTGTAAGAATAGATACAAATTATATACAGTACAGTTTTGTGTTTAATATATTTTTTGTAAATGATGAGTTATCTGAACAATCCCAGTCCTAAATTGTTTTGGATAATCAATGCTCTACTGTAATTGTAAATGAAAATGATAAACTACGTAACACCTTATGTATCAATTAATCTGTTGGTTTTAATTAATTTAATATTGCTTACGCAACATAAAAAACTTGTTGCAATTATCAGTGATGATTCATTGCTTCAGTTATATAAATATAGCATTATGATTTACAAATTTGAGTGTAGCACATCATAAACTATTTAATAATGAACAGAACTGCAACTTTGCCACTGTTGTCTAATAAACATACATACATACTCCACACTACTGAAACTTGCTTTACAACTCAATTTCAGGGATAGAACATTAAATATTAATATAAATATTTGGGCAGTTTTTAATCTGTTGGAATGAATTATAATGGGGCCCATCATATTGAGGAAATCCTTTGAGGAATAACTGTACAAGCCTGGCCTTGAGGAATTCCTATTAGTGTGTGGGGAAAACTGTACAGGCTGCTGGATAGAAACGAAAAACCATTTGATTTCCCTGCACAGTTTTGGTATGCACAGGACAATAGTAATGTGTGTGCTGTCGTGAGGCTACTGAGGGAAAAAACAATGTCCCGTGAATGTTTAGAAGAATTTTTAAAGATTTATGGAAGTGAAAAAACCATGTCTTTGGCATGTTAAAAGTAGAGATTTTGAGAAGATAAACAAAATGCAAGGGATAAAATTTTATAGGCGCTACGTTGATGTTTTAATAATATACGATGAAAGTGAAACTACAATCAATAACAGAAGTAACCATAAACAGCATAAACCAAGAAATACAGTTTACTGTAGAAGAAGAGAATAAAGCCAATAAAAGTATAAACTATTTAGATGTTACAATAAAAAGGAACAACAATAACCTATAAAAAACCATGCTCTACAGATGTAACAATTCGATATGACTAATATTCCTTCATATATAAAATATAACATTTTTAAAATGGAATGTATAAAAATTAAGACAAGAACTAGCAATCTTACAGATATAAATGTTTACATAAAAGAATTAAAAAAGAAATTTATCCTCAATGGATATCCTAATAGTTTAATAGATCGCTGGGAAAACAAGATAAATAGTAAACTGAATAATAAAAAATCAAAAAAGCCAAATATAGATACAAAATATATCAGTTTTCCATATATAAAAGGACTATATGAGAATATCAACAAAGACTTACAGAAAATAAATGCAAAACTAGCCCCGAAATATGAAAAATTAGAAAATAGAATAAGACTGGCAAAACCTAATAAAGTAGATAATAAAGAACAAGAAACAAAGAACGTTGTGTATAAGATACCATGTACCTGTAATACAACTAACTACTATATAGGAGAAACTAAACACAAATTGAGCATACGAGTAAAAGAACATATTGCTGATCTCAAATATAATCGTCTAAACTCTGTTTTTCATGACCATTGTTTAATAAACAACTGTAACATAGATAAAAATAATGTTAAAATCCTATATAAAGAGAAAAACATGTATAATAAAAGATTTAAAGAAAGTGTCTCAATTTTAAAAGCCAATTGTTAATAATTGTATCAACAAAAATTTAAGTGTAAAAATAAATGAGAACTGGATGAAAATATTATAATATATGCAATACAAATTAATATTAATGTAATTAATTATAAAAGTTATCCTATTGTTAATAATAATAACTGTCTTTGTAATATTCAAATCAGTACAACACTGCAATGCAGTATGTAACGCAGGTATGGTTAAAAAGGAATAATGTAAAAAATTGTCTATTTCTATTTTGAGATATGTACGTAATTATGTCTATGACCCCTGGATACTGTCAAAAAATATATAAAAAATCATTTATAAAAAATTTTTAATGAAATTACTCCACTTATTGTAAAATAAGCTGTGCGTGCCAATTAAGACCTTGTATGTATAACAGATTAAAAATGAATATGGTAAGAAACATACGTTATTTTAATTCTGTTTTGTAAGATATTTTATGTAACGTTTTAAAAATTGTATATATTTTTTAGTTGACTGATGAGGGGTTTTATGCCCGAAATGTGCTGTTGTCACATATCAACTAAAAATGATGGAAATAAAGCCAAGTGTTTATTTATAACTCAAATGTGAGTTTGAAGTCCAATATATTCACAAAACACGGTTTCGAAAACAACAAAGTAAATATTTTAATGACAGAAGCAAAAAAGAAGTTGCCTATTTATGTTTAATTGGAAATTGAAGAACATTGAGCCAAATGCTAACAAAGAAAATGTTATAATAATTAACAACATCAGAAAGTGAATATAGGAAGGAAATTAAGAAAATCAAAGCTTCAGTCATGTCAGGATAAGGAACTGATGAAGTATATTAACCAAAGTTGTTGTATTTCAAATTATTAAGGTAAGCTTAAATTTTAACAATAAAATAATACAAAAAAAATTAAGCAATTTTACTTGTTTGCATTTTAAATTTAAATTAGGTTTTTAGATGACCAAGATACTTCTTGATCTTTCAAGTCACTTCAACATAAATAGTGATGATGATACTTATTATTGAATAATTTGTTTTTTAATATAATATTTATATTTGTGTCTTTTGTGACATAAGAAAAGGAAAAATTGAAATATAAATATTGTTAAATAAATTAGTATGTCATTATTCATTTAAGTATATATACTAAGTTAAAAGTACAATGTTTTTATTATTTTAATGGCAATACAATTTTCAGTTCAATTACAACATTGATAATGTTTAAATAAAGTTCAATTGCCATGAAATTTGGCCTTCTTTTACAAAATAATCTATAAATTTTTCTATCACATTTTTGCCAAAAAACTCATGTTTCCTGGATTATTTCAGACCAATCGCACCATTTGTTAAGTTCAGTTGTAACATGTGTCGGGTGGGTGAGGTAACAGTATCCCCAAGAATGTGGGGGAGATTGTCCTGCCTAGAGAGGGAAAATTTGTGGGCTTCCCTTTGTGGTGTGTGTATCGAGAGAGTGTGTGTGGAGGTAGTGCAGAAAGAAGTGCTGACCGCAGTACTGACCAGGGAGCTAACCAGAGTGGGTAGCTGTGTGGAACCAGTGTTGTAATTACCAATAATTGTCGGGTGCCTGAGTGTTGTTTGATTGTGGAGTGCCAGAGAGTCACTCGCTGATTTGGAGACATTAAAGTGTCATTGTATTGTTATTGTTACAAAGGAAGTGTGTACTGTGTTCTTTTAGACAGTGTAAACGGGAACATTTCATACCACCATCATCACAACATCATTTTTTATACACCATTTTTGAATCTTCTGTATTATACCCTAAAATAGTAGTTCCAACATCAGTATTTTCATGATCAAAACATTTTGGAGGAGAATAAAAACTTGGCACTGATTTCATTAAAAAGTTGTGCAAAACACAAGTAACCATTACAACTGATTCAATTTTATGTGATTGTAAATTAATTGCTTTGTGAAATATTCAAAATCATGATGCCAAAATACCAAACGCATTCTCAACAATGCATCTTGCTTTTTATTTATGAAGGACTTTGTAAATAGCATCACATGTTTCAGGTATGATGTAGTCAAGGACTTGAGGTGATATTATTTTTGAAAATTTGAGATCTTCAAAACTTCTGCCTGTTGCCAAATACCTTAAGGTTGCCATGAACCTCTCATGGGGTAAAATTGCTGCTTCCATTACAGTATCTTCTTATTTTATGATTGGTGTAACCAATGATAACAAATTAAATACGTTTCTTTGTCCATTCTCAAATAGTTGTGCCAATCTTTAGGTACTAACTTTTAACTTCAATTCTGAGATCAGGTTCACATGGGAATACGATTCTCTTTTTTTTTTAGCCACTCTCTTTACACCATAGACTTCTACACGTCTTTTCCCCACAAGTTTTAATACAATTTGTTGCCAATAAACATCCAAGAACAGCCAGTACGTCGTCATCAGATGCCATGGCTGGCTGACTGACTGAGAAATTTTCCTTCTCGTGTGTGGGTGATATGAAATTCTGAATTTCCTCAAAGTCAGGCCTGCACAGTTATTCCTCAAAGGATTTACACAACACGTGTGGGCCCCTTAAGACTTGAAAGCACTGTATGTGTAACATTTATTTATTTATATATTTATTAGATACTCCAATAAAGCAATTTGGCTCATTTGTAAGAGTAAACTGAAGTTGAAGTTTGAATACCATTTAATATAGAAATTTTGATTTTGAAGTAAATTTTGAAGTACATTTTATAATCTGGAAAATAAGTTATAAATAAGCATTTATATAAATACATTTAAATAAGCATATATATAAATACATTTTTAGAAATCTCTTGTATATAATAATTATATATATATA